ACTTGAATACCCTTTATTTATCTTGCCTGACTGCCTGGCCAGAACTTCCAATGCTATGTTGAATAGGAGTGATGAGAGAGGACATCCTTGTCTTGTGCTAGTTTTCAAAGGGAATGCTTCCAGTTTTTGTCCATTCGGTATGATATTGGCTATGGGTCTGTCATAAATAACTCTTATTATTTTGAGATGAGTTCCATCAATACCTAGTTTATTGAGAGTTTTTAGCATGAAGAGGTGAATTTTATTGAAGGCCTTTTCTGCATCTATTGAGATAATCATGTGTTTTTTGTCATTGGTCTATTTATATGATGGATTACATTTATTGATATGAGTATGTTGAACCAGCCTTGCATCCCTGGGATGAAGCCGACTGGTGGATAAGCTTTTTGATGTGCTGCTGGATTCGGTTTGCCAGTATTTTATTGAGGATTTTCGCATCGATGTTCATCAGGGGTATTTTCTTTTTTTGTTGTGTCTCTGTCAGGTTTTGGTATTAGGATGATGCTGGCCTCATAAAATGAGTTAGGGAGGAGTCCCTCTTTTCTTTTATTTGGAATAGTTTCAGAAGGAATGGTACCAGTTTCTCTTTGTACCTGTGTTAGAATTTGACTGTGAATCCATCTGGTCCTGGGATTTTTTTGGGTGGTAGGCTATTAATTACTGCCTCAATTTCAGAACTTGTTATTGGTCTATTCAAGGATTCGACTTCTTCCTGGTTGTCTTGGGAGGGTGTGTGTGTCCAGGAATTTATCAATTTCTTCTAGATTTTCTAGTTTATTTGCATAGAGGTGTTTATAGTATTCTCTGATGGTAGTTTGTATTTCTGTGGGATCAGTGGTGATATCCCCTTTATTGTTTTTTATTGTATTTATTTGATTCTTCTCTCTTCTCTTCTTTATTAGTCTGGCTAGTGGTCTATTTTGTTAGTCTTTTGAAAAAATGAGGTCCTGGATTTATTTATTTTTTGAAGGGTTTTTCATGTCTCTTATCTTCTTCAGTTCTGCTCTGATCTTAGTTATTTCTTGTCTTCTGTTAGCTTTTGAATTTGTTTGCTCTTGCTTCTCTAGTTCTTTTCATTGTGATGTTAGGGTGTCAATTTTAGATCTTTCCTGCTTTCTCCTATGGGCATTTAGTGCTATAAATTTCCCTCAAAACACTGGTTTAGCTGTGTCCCAGGGATTCTGGTACGTTGTGTCTTTGTTCTCATTGGTTTCAAAGAACTTATGTATTTCTGCCTTAATTTCATTATTTACCTAGTAGTCATTCAGGAGCAGATTGTTCAGTTTCCATTGCAGTTGTATGGTTTTTGAGTGAGTTTCTTAATCCTGAGTTCTAATTTGATTACACTGTGGTCTGAGAGACTATTTGTTATAATACATTCTTTTGCATTTGCGGAGGAGTATTTTACTTTCAATTATGTGGTCAACTTTAGAATAAATGCAGTGTGGTGCTGAGAAGAATGTATATTCTGTTGATTTGGGGTGGAGAGTTCTGTAGATGTCTATTAGGTCCACATGGTCCAGAGCTGAGTTCAAGTCCTGAATATCCTTGTTAATTTTCTGTCTCATTGATCTAACATGGATAGTGGGGTGTTAAAGTCTCCCACTATTATTGTGTGGGAGTCTAAGCCTCTTTGTAGGCCTCTAAGAACTTACTTTATGAGTCTGGGTGCTCCTGTTGGGTGCATATATATTTAGGATAATGAGCTCTTCTTATTGCATTGATCCTTTTATGTAACACCCTTCTTTGTCTTTTTTTTAATCTTTGTTGGTTTAAAGTCTGTTTTATCAGAGACTAGGATTGCAACCCCAGAGTCTTGTTGCATTCCATTTGCTTGGTAAACATTCCTCTATCCCTTAATTTTGAGCCTATGTGTGTCTTTGCACGTGAGGTGTCTTTGCACATGAGATGGGTCTCCTGAATACAGCACATCGATGGGTCTTGACTCTATCCAATTTGCCAGTCTATGTCTTTGAATTTGGGCACTTAGCCCATTTACTTTTAAGGTTAATATTGTTATGTGTGAATTTGATCCTGTTATTATGATGCTAGCTGGTTATTTTGCCCGTTAGTTGATGCAGTTTCTTCATAGTGTCGATGGTCTTTACAATTTGATATGTTTTTGCAGTGGCTGGTCCCGGTTTTTCCTTTCCGTATTTAGTGCTTCCTTTAGGAGATCTTGTAAGGCAGGCCTGGTGGTGATAGCATCTCTCAGCATTTGCTTGTGTGTAAAGGATTTTATTTCTCCTTCGCTTATGAAGCTTAGTTTGGCTGGATATGGAATTCTGGGTTGAAAATTCTTTTCTTTAAGAATGTTGAATATTGGCTCCCACTGTCTTCTGGCTTGTAAGGTTTCTGTAGAGAGATCAGCTGTTAGTCTGATGGGCTTCCCTTTGTGGGTAACCCGACCTTTCTCTCTGGCTGCTCTTAACATTTTTTCCTTCATTTCAACCTTGGTGAATGGGACGATTATGTGTCTTGGTGTTCCTCTTCTTGAGGAGTATCTTTGTGGTGGTCTCTGTATTTCCTGAATTTGAATGTTGGCCTGTCTTGCTAGGTTGGGGAAGTTCTCCTGGATAATATCCTGAAGAGTGTTTTCCAACTTGGTTCCATTCTCCCTGTCACTTTCAGGTACACCAATCAAATGTGGTTTGGTCTTTTCACATAGTCCCATATTTCTTGGAGGCTTTGTTCATTCCTTTTCATTCTTTTTTCTCTAATCTTGTCTTCTCACGTTATTTCATTAAGTTGATCTTCAATCTCTGATATCCTTTCTTCCGCTTGATCGATTTGGCTATTGATACTTGTGTATGCTTCACGAAGTTCTTGTGCTGTTTTTCAGCTCCATCAGGTCATTTATGTTCTTCTCTAAACTGGTTATTCTAGTTAGCAATTCCTCTAACCTTCTTTCAAGTTCTTAGCATCTTTGCATTGGGTTAGAACATGCTCCTTTAGCTTGGAGGAGTTTGTTATTACCCACCTTCTGAAGCCTACTTCTGTCAATTCGTCAAACTCATTCTCCATCCACTTTTGTTCTCTTGCTGGGGAGGAACTGTGATCCTTTGGAGGAGAAGAGGTGTTTTGGTTTTTGGAATTTTCAGCCTTTTGGCGCTGGTTTTTCCTCATCTTCGTTGATTTATCTACCTTTGGTCCTTGGTGTTGGTGACCTTTGGATGAGGTTTCTGTGTGGATGTCATTTTTGTTGATGTTGATGCTATTCCTTTCTGTATGTTAAGTTTTTCTTCTAACAGGCCCCTCTGCTGCAGGTCTGCTGGGGTTTGCTGGAGGTCCGCTCCAGACCAGTATTACCAGCGGAGGCTGCAGAACAGCAAAGATTGCTGCCTGTTCCTTCCTCTGGAAGTTTCGTCCCAGAGGGGCACCTGCTTGGTGCCAGCCAGAGCTCTCCTGTATAAGGTGTCTGTCGGCCCCTGCTGGGAGATGTCTCCCAGTCAGGAGGCATGGGGGTCAGGGACCCACTTGAGGAGGCAGTCTGTCCATTAGCAGAGCCCAAGTGCTGTGCTGGGAGATCGGCTGCTCTCTTCGGAGCTGGCAGGCAGGAATGTTTAAGTCTGCTGAAGCTGCACCCACAGCCACCCCTTTCCCCAGGTGCTCTGTCCCAGGGAGAAGGGAATTTTATCTATCAGCCCCTGACTGGGGCTGCTGCCTTTCTTTCAGTGCTGCCTTGCCCAGAGTGGAGGAATCTAGAGAGGCAGTCTGGCTACAGAGGCTTTGCCGAGCTGTGGTGTGCTCTACCCAGTTCGAACTTCCTGGCAGTTTTGTTTACACTGTGAGGGGAAACCCCGCCTACTCAAGCCTCAGTAATGGCAGACACTGCTCCCCACAAGAAGCTCGAGCATCCCAGGTTGACGTCAGACTGCTGTGCTGGCAGTCAGAATTTCAAGCCAGTGGATCTTAGCTTGTTGGGCTCCATGGGGGTGGGATCTGCTGAACTAGACCACTTGGCTCCCTGGCTTCAGCCCCCTTTCCTGGGGCGTGAACTGTTCTGTCTCACTGGCATTCCAGGTGCCAATGGGGTATGAAAAAAAGAACTCCTGCAGCTAGCTAGGTGTCTGCCCATACGGCCGCCCAGTTTTGTGCTTGAAACCCAGGGCCCTGGTGGTGTAGGCACGGGAGGGAATCTCTTGGTCTGCAGGTTGTGAAGACTATGGGAAAAGCGTAGTATCTGGGCTGGAGTGCACCATTCCTCCCGGCACAGTCCCTCATGACTTCCCTTGGCTAGGGGAGGGAGTTTGCTAACGCCTTGTGCTTCCTGGGTGAGGCAACGCCCCACCCTGCTTCAGCTCCCCTTCCGTAGGCTGCACCCACTGTCTAACCAGTCCCATTGAGATGAGCCAGATACCTCAGTTAGTTAGAAATGCAGAAATCACCTGCCTTCTGTGTTGGTCTCACTGGGAGCTGCAGACCAGAGCTGTTCCTACTTGGTCATCTTGCCACCCTTCCAAAGTTAGCGTTTATGAAGTACAAGAAAGGTGGAGTTGAAAGCATGAGAATAAAGTGACTCTGGGTGAAGACTACCATGGAACAGTAGGAGGGGACAAGCAGGTCACAGAGAACTGAGATTATTCAGAGTATAGCCAACCTGGGCCCCCTGGCCGGTGAGGCAGCTGTGCAAGGAGCTGAATGTTGATCATGGACAGCAGGACTCAGCAAGTCCTCACATCTTTCCTGTATGTCCCTTCTGCACAAGGTAGGTCTACATCCACCACCTGCTCCTGAAGGAGGAGCTGTGTCTGAGGGGCCCAGACTCTGCCACGGTAACAATCCGCTTGAGAAAAATGCCCACACCAGGCCCAAGTGCAAAGACTAGCTGCCAGGACAAAAAGTGGGCAGGGGATATAGCGTTAGGTTTAGCTTTGATCTTGGATTCCCCTGCCTTCGTAATTTCTACATGCAATGCACAGACTCAAGAGTCAGGTTTGGGGAAGGGTAGTTTAAAAGCCTCATGGGGTAAGAATCACGTCAAATGCCAAGAGACCATAATAATTAGAAACACTTTAATTCCTAGCCACTTGGCAGCACTTAAATATCAGAGCCATCCAAGCATGCCAGTCTTTGAACTTGCTCAGCAAGAGTAGATGATCACACAACTCTTAAGGTAAATCAAAATTAGATGAAGGTTATTTATTGGTGTGACTTTTTTCCTTTAGTGAGCTTCCTTTACACAGCATGGTGTAAATAGCATCAGATTGAATGAAAAGTTTGTTAAATGCAACCATAAATAATTATAATAAATATACATCAAGTAACTTTACAGCACACATTTTTTAGGGCCAAGGTTTGGAACTGTCTGGACCTCAATGTGCTCTCGGAGAAGCAGCCATGTTAGCAGCAGATACCTTACAGCTGTCATCTACTCAAGTGATGGCCAACAGAAGCTTCTGAACTCCTCCTGGGGAGGTAGCTGACAAGTCCATTCAAGGGATGAGGACTAAAGAGAACCAAGAATTTAAAGATACAGGGAGGAAAAACCACTTCTAATAAATCCAAAGGCTCTTTCGTTTTGCAGAAATGAAAATAAAAGGATCCTTGTTGTCAGGAATACATCCTGGATGTGACCCCCCCCCCCCCCCCACTCAAGGGAGCTGTGGCTGCTGGGGAGGCAGTGGGCTGACCATCTTCTTTCAAAACAGGGGAACTGCTTGCGGGCACTCACCTCCAGAGGTGACTCGCATCAAATACAACTGATGCAGCTGTCATGATTAACCCTAGGTCGATTTCATCCTGAGGTCAGGGGATCCTTTCTATAATGGTCCTTGATGCATTTCCTAAGAGTTACAGGGAGGAGATGGATGCTAACGGCTCTATCTCTAGAACTCACAATCTTTCCAGCAGGCCAGGGCACATCTTCTTTCTTCGACCAGCATCCACACTCCAAAACCTTCTAGATAGCACTCACTCAAAACTTCCAATATTCACAATATTATACAATAAATACAGCGATGTGATTCTGTGAGACCTGGCAAGGCCCAAAGTGACAGTGTCCAACAAGATGGCCTGTGCTGCTCATGAACAGAGTACCATTGGACAAAGACCTATTTGGGGCAAAGATGCACTGGGGCAGTGGGTGAGCCTGGAGGCAGCTCGGCCCTGGCACACACACTTACATGGGGTGATGGGGAGTGCTAGGCAGGGCTGGCCAGAGGGGCAGAAGGACCCCCCTGGAGTCTCCATCTGGACTTGCATGTCTGGGTCACTAAAGCAGACCCCGAATTGAGCAGAGCACCTCAGTCCACTCTTTTGAAAATGGGGGTGTGGCCCTTTCCCTTGTCCTATGTCACTGCAGGGAGGAAGGGCCATTTCTGAGCATTTTGTGCTCCTTTTTTGTGGGGTAGGCTTGAATCATGTGCTTTCCTCTTCAACCAGAGTCTCAGAGGAGGCCCCCACCTGAGCACTGTCTCCCACCTCTGGGTGTCTTCTCACCCCCTGCAGCTGGGATGCACCCAGCTAGGCTCTGTGAATTAAGGTCGGGATGAACCCTTGAGTCTCCTGCTCCTGAGGAGGCCTCAGATGAAAACTGTCAGACTAGGGCCCAGCAGAGACAGATGGCAGATAGGGAGGTTTGGGACACGCAGGGAAACCACTGTGGGCTTTTCCTCAGAAAAACCAAGACTGGGAGCAAGTTCTAAAGCAGGAAGATGAACATATAAAGCTCCCTGTGTGTCTCCCATGTTTGGGCAACTGGCCCAGCCACCTCTAGGTGGAGGGAGGCCTGCTGGGGCTGCCTCTGGAGCATCTCCAGCTGGAGGCCAGAGGGGAGGGCTGGCCACAGGCTTGTCTGTGGAGGCGCTCTGCTAAAGCACGGATGCTCTGTGTGGCTGAGGTCATTGTACCCCTGGCTTCCTGCTCGGTGGTTCTGTGATGGGGAACCAGCTGGGGCCTTATGGCATTAGAATCTGGTGGCCACGAGGGACAATGTCCAAGAAGATCAAATTAGACACAAACTGTCTGGGAACTAAACTATCCTACAAATAGACCACAAACAGGCAGCAAAAGAACCAACCCATCACGAAACGTACAAAGACAAAAGGTTAAGTCTTCCAGGAGGCCCTGGAACGTGGACGAAAGTTCGGAAAAGCAAAATGTTGCCAACTCCTCACGCAGGGCCCTGGAGGGACGGGCTGCAGTAGTGGCTTCCCAAGCCGGCAGAGCAGGTGCCTCAGTGACATCCTAATTCTGGGGCTTCCTCCTGTCAGCCACTGAGGGGGTCTTCGCGGTAGTGAATGGCACAACGAAGTTTCTCCAGCATGATTTCCAGAGAGGAGTACTGGGGAAGCTTGATCATGAACATGCAGGTCTCCACGCGGATGTAGCGAGAGTCTGGGGAACCTACAAGAAACCGAGCCAGCGTCAGAGGGTTGGGCCCCCGTCTGTGAGGCTCCCATGGAAGCTGGGCTGGCCTCCGCTTCCAGGTTTGCCTCCTAGGGTAGCCCTAAGCCAATCCTGGTGCCCAGCAGGATGGGGATGAGGGCTGGGAACCTGGGAGAAGTTCTTGGAGGGAAAAGGGGAGAGAGCTGCTGGACAGCATATGTGCCAAACTGCTGATGGGTTTGTCTGCCCAGCAAAATGTTTTGTTTTGTTTTGTTTTTACCCATTTTTCTGCATTTAAAAGTTAGAAGATTTGAAGCATTCTGGATTTTCAGCTTCTTTTGAGATACGAGAAGGTATCTAACAGCAGACCCACATGGCTGGCTCCTGCCCGGCCCTAATCCTCAGTGATGTCTGGGTTTTGGCATGTGGGGCTCCTGGTCATTGTTCTCCCTTCACATGGGGCCTGGCAGCCCCAGTTCCAAACAGAGAAGGGCTAGTGTGTCCCTACTTGGGAAATGGCCAGGGGAGGGCGGTACCTGCTGTGCCATCTGGGGGGGCGATCTTCATGGGGTACGGGGGCACATGGGCGGTGTCGGGGCCCCCGTCTTTGCAGGGGCAGGTGAACGGGATGCGCTCCTGGTTGCAGGCAAACTTGATGAACTTGCACAGCTCCTCCTGGGTGAACATCTCCAGGGCCCCCCAGAAGAACTCGATGTGCTGGTCCGTCTCCATCAGCCCCACCTGGTACATGGTGTGGGCCTGGGGAGGAGAGGCCCAGGTGTCAGGAGCCCTGGAACCCCACCTACCCAGTGCCTCCCCAGCCCTGGGGTCTGCGGGCCAGGCCCAATCCCAGGGCAGGCTGCAGCGTGTGGGTTGTGAGCACAGGGAGATGACAACGATGACAATGATACAGGTCTGTGGCAAGGACAGAGCTGAGACAGGCCACTGCCGATGCCTGCTGCTGGACTTAAGGGTGACAGGGAGGCAGGCCTGGGGCTCACCACCTCCCCGCCCAGCCTGGCCCTGGGCCGTCTACCTTGAGGAACTCGAGGTTGATGTAGGGGAGGCCGCAGGTGCGCAGCTCCATCTCCAGCGGGCTGAGCGTAGTCAGCAGCTGCAGGGGGATGATGGAGCCCAGGCCAGCCCGCACAGCCGTCACACACTCCACATTCTGCAGCTCCCGCAGCCGCAAGCTCCGGATGGCTGCCGCATAGATGTCCTTGTTCTCCCACCTGCCCAGGTGAGGGGCACAGGTGAGGGAGACCACCACCAAAGAGGCTGGGTCTGGGAGCCACACCCACTCAGCCGGAGGTCCTGGATCCTCTCTTGGGAGAGGCCTGCGGCCCAGCCGCCCTGGTCATCCCAGTCCTTTCCTGCCTCTGGTGCCACCACCTCAGAGCTGCTGTTTTCTTAGTAAACCCCTTCTGCTGAGGACCCTCTTTCTTGGCACCCACCATCCTGCCTCATCTCCCTCCCCTGGTGAAATCCACCTGTCACCTGACCTAGGTCCTTATGCCATTGCCCAGGAACAGATGCTGCTGTCAAACCTTGGCCAGCCCCCGCCAGCCCCCACCACGTGCACACACTCACGCCACAAGGATGTGCCGGCCCCGGCTGCACAGCTCCACCTCCTCGCCCGTCATGGTCAGGTAGGTGAACCTGCAGCAGGGCTTGTTGGGGCTGTCAGGGCTCTCGGTGGCCAGGTGCTGGGAGGCAATCTCAGCGCACAGGGCCTCCAGCTCGGTCTCGTCATTTATCTGGAGGGTGGAGGCAGAGTGAGGCTCATTACAAGGCCATGGGAAGTGGAACCCTGATCCCCAGGTGGCTGGGCAAATCCCAGGTGCAGCTGGTGGGATCTACCCTTGGCCGTGTGGATGGGCATGTGACATGGGCTTGGCCAATCAGAACCTGCCATCAGTTCAGGGCCGGGCATGTGACCGAGGCCAGGCTGAAGAGACCCACATTCCAGGCCTTTTCCCATGACTGTTTGGAGGCAGCGATCCTGTCTCACTGGCACGGGCAGACTCTATGATGGGAAACCCTTTACTGCTGGAGGCCACCTCTGCCCGTGTGCTGGGACAGCCTGCCTGAGACTAATTTTGCTTTCTTTGCTTTTTCTTTTCTTTTCTTTCTTTTTTTTTTTTTTGAGACAGAGTTTTGCTCTTGTTGCCCAGGCTGGAGTGCAGTGGTGCGACCTGGGCTCACTGCAACCTCTGCCTCCTGAGTTCAAGCAATTCTCCTGCCTCAGCCTCCTAAGGAGCTGGGATTACAGGCGCCCGCCACCACGCCTGATTAATTTTCGTATTTTTAGTAGAGACGGGGTTTCACTATGTTGGTCAGGCTGGTCTCGAATTCCTGACCTCAGGTGATCTACCTGCCTCAGCCTTCCAAAGTGCTGGGATTACAGGCGTGAGCCACTGCACCCAGACTGCTTTTTCTTTTTTTTTTTTTTGAGATGGATTCTCGCTCTGTCAGCTGGAGTGCAGTAGTGCGATCTTGGCTCACTGCAACCTCCGCCTCCCGGGTTCAAGTAATTCTCTGCCTCAGCCTCCTGAGTAGCTGGGATTACAGGCACCTGCCACCATGCCTGGCTAGTTTTTGTATTTTTAGTAGAGATGGGGTTTCACCATCTTGGCCAGGCTGGTCTTGAACTCCTGATCCACCTGCCTCAGCTTCCCAAAATGCTGGGATTACAGGCGTGAGCCACTACACCTGGCCGCTTTCTTTTTTTTTTTTTAAAGCAATCTGGATAAGAGGCCTGAGACCAATACCAGATGACACTGTTTGAATACCTGGATTTGGCCCTGCCTGAAGTCAAACCCATCATGGTTTTTGTTTTAAGAGCAACTAATTTTTTTTTTTTTTGAGATGGAGTCTTGCTCTGTTGCCCAGGCTGGAGTGCAGTGGCACAATCTTGGCTCACTGTAAGCTCCGCCTCTCGGGTTCACGCCATTCTCCTGCCTCAACTTCCCAAGCAGCCAGAGACTATAGGCACCTGTCACCACGCCTGGCTAATGTTTTGTATTTTTAGTAGAGACGGGGTTTCACCATGTTAGCCAGATGGTCTTGATCTCCTGATCTTGTGATCTGCCCACCTAACCCTCCCAAAGTGCTGGGATTACAGGCATGAGCCACCGCGCCCAGTCTAAGAGCAACTAATTTTAAACAATTTTTTCTAAAGCTGGTTGTGGCTGGGATTTCTGTCCCTTGCCACCAGACAGCCCTGACTTAGTCCTGTCTGTGGAGGTGTACAGGCTACTGCCTCCCCACATTTGGCGACCAGAATCAGGGTCCAGGGAAACTGATTCGCACTGTGTCTGCTGGGCTATCTGGGAGACGACAGGGTGAGACCCAAAGGAGACTGACTGCAGCTCGGGGACAGTGACAGGTGGACGGACATTCAGGTCTAAGTCTGGAGTCTCCTTAGTAGCAACCTCCCTACCCCTTCACTGCAGACGCTCCACTGATACAAGTCGAGACCATTTCTTTCCAGTACACATCCCACAACACCATGTGGTTCTGCACCCCACACCCTCTGGGGCCCTGGCCATCCCTGCAGCCAGAAGCCTCAGCTGGCCTGCAGGACCCCGCCTCGCATCCCCTGCAGCCCCAGCCTGCGCTGCACCCAGAGCCCCAGGAGGATTCCTTGGAAGAATGCAGGAGACACATAAACCCTCAGTCCACTGTGGGTGTTCTCCTTCCACCCTTTAGACAATGCCTTGTCATGCCTGTTTCTACCGAGAAGCCACGGGCATCCGGGACTCTGGCTCTGCTATTGTCTTGCAATGGCTGCCCTGAGTGACCCAGGGGGACAATGGCGGAGACCTGGCCAGGCAGTGCCTCGGTTGGCCATGGAGTATTCTGCCGGCGTACGCAGAAGCAGCTGGCACCCCCTTCACCTGAGGCCCAGGAGAGAGCAGCTTCTGCCAGGCCTCAGGCACGATGTTCACTCTCGTGGCCTTGAGGGGCGCCGGGTGGGACGTTGCCCTCCACACTCGGCCAGGATGGTTCTCTCAGCTGCGGGGCGTGTGGTGCGGGAGAGCCCAGAAGTCAGAGCAGGCAGCCCTGGGCTCCCGGTGGCTCTGCTCCCTGTCAGCTGTGAGGGCCTGGGCAAGTCACCTCCATTTGGTGAGCCTCACCTTCCTCCTGACCTTGTGATGATGGAATAAAGCCCTCCACCCTCCACCACGAAGGAGACAAGCTTGGACACTCCCTGAGGACAGGGTGAGTGCCCAGAGCCTGTCTGGCCCATGACAGGGCCTCAGTGACGGCCACTGAGTGCACAGAGGGACTGTGGACCCCTTCCACCTCCAGGGGGGTGCTGAGCAACAGCACCATGCTCTCAAAACCTACGTGTGCCCTGGACAGGCAGGAAGGGCTCCATCCTGACACCTCTCCCTTGGTTGACCTCAGGTGGTCCCAGGGTTGACTCCTGTGCTCTGAGGCCCTGAAACAACTCTTAACCTGCACCCCTACAGCCGTTCCCCCAGTGCCTGTTCACTCAGCTCCAGGAGCCCTTACCCATGGCCAGGTGACGAGCAGCAATGTGGGAGGACCAGCAGGGCTGGTCATGTTACCTCCAATCTCTGCTGCCAGCAGGGAGGGAGGCCAGAGGCCTCTGTCCCTATGAAACAAGCCTTCCTGGCAGATGGCTCACACCCCTAAGGTCCTCTGGGGGATCCCAACCCAGCCTGAGCAGGCAGCTCGGGTCTGCATGGAGTCCTAGGCAAGGCGGCGGGGAGGCCCCGGGCGCTGCACGCCCCCGGAAGAACTGTGCCTTGTACTCACGCTCTCAAACTTCTTGACGTAATTGTAGGTGAGGATGTCCGCTTCCTGCAGGTCTTGCTCAGGGTCCAAGGGCTCGCCCACCAGCGTCTTCCAGAAGGAGGGCAGGAGGTCCAGGGGCAGCGGGACATCTGCCCGAATAGCAATGCCCAGCAGCTGCCCCAGGAAGTGCAGCAGCTGCTCCTCCCCGTAGGTGATGGGGCTCGGGGTCAGGATATACTTGCCCTGGAAGCGGAGGTGGGCATGAGGTGACCTGGGCATGGGCCTCTGTGCCCGCCAAGGAACATCTGTTTCAGGCCACCGCACCCTGTGGCAGGCAAGAGAGAAGTCACTGCAAGCTCCCAGAGCTTGCCCAGGCAGTGTGGCAAGGGCCTGTCCCCACAGATTGGGAAGGTTTCTGAAAAGGTTTAGTTTCGATGAGACACACACTGCCCCACCACCACCAGCCACTGCACTGGGACCTGAGCTTGGGGACGTGGAGCCTCCTCTCGGTCTCCGCCTACCTTGTTCTTATTGACAGCTGAGCTGGGGCACAGCAGCAGCAGCGACAGCGAGGAACTCTGCAGCTCCTTACACACCTGCCACAGGAAGTGGCGGAAAGAGCCGCCTGCAGGACAGATGAGAAACATGGGCACCTGGGGGCGTCCCGGCGGGAGATGGCACCGTTCCCTCCCTCTCACCTGCTGGTCGGAGCGGCTACTCTTTCCCTGGCCTGCCTGCCGCTGTGGCGGGGTGGAAAGAAGCCACCTCAGGCCTAGGAGGCCTCAGGTCCAAGCCTGCTCTCCACTCACTAGTGGGGCCACCCAGTGATACCACAGAGGGCAAGATGTCCCCGAGGCTCAGTCACCTGTCTGTCAAATGGGAGAGTGACCGTACCTTCCCCAAAGGCCATTCGAGGATTCAGTGAGGTCACCGCAGGTCCCCACACAGGCAACCCCTCCCAGCTGCAAGCCTGCCTGAGTTGTGGACTTGTTTGGTCCACGTCTGTGCCCCTGGGCCAGGCTGAGGGCAGGACCACTTGTTTCACTCAGCACTGCCTCCCCCACTGCCCGGGCTCGCGTCTGTCCAATGAATGTGTAAGTGAATGGACAAATGTGTGAATGTGCAAAGGGCAACGGTCACTGCTCAGCCTCTCCTGCCGCCATTCAAGATGGGCCTTTGGTTTCTTGCAAATCTCTTCCTCTGGCCTTCCCTGTGTTCCCTATTGGTACCCTGAGGTCAGGGAGCTCTGAGCACAGCTGTGCCCACACCCTGCTTGGTCAGAGCCACGTGGAAGCCCAGTGTGGGGGCCCAGTGCAGGGGCAGATGTTGGGCCTGGCCCTCACCTCTGCTTCAAGGAGAAGCAGGAGTGTCTCGACTGCCGACACTTGGAAGGCCAGGGGCCTGGACCCTGGAACCCCAGCTGGCTGCCTGACCTTGGGAAGTGACTTGGCTTTGTGGAGTCCCAGTTTCCCTATATGTAGGATGGGCCAGGGCTGGCACTCTGGGCAGGTTCACTGCTGTGGGGAGGATAAGGTGTCGTGCGTGAGTCTGGGCTGTCAGTGAACCAGAGCTGTTCTCAGAGAGGCCTAGGAGGCCTGCCCATAGGATGCCAGGGCCCTCTGTCTGGGAGGCAGCTGCATTCCCGTGGGGGCAGATCAGAGGAAAGGGGAGAAGGAGCTGGGTGGGGGCTCCCTCTTGCCCGGACAGCCTTTCCCTCCAGGGTGCCCAGCTGTGGAGAAACTAGGTTTCTTCTGCATCTGCAGTGGAGACATTTCCTGAATGTCTGGGGCTAAGCATGAGAGGGTCACAAGGGAGCACTTGCTCAGCTGCCAGTCCTCATCCTTGCAGAGTGCGATGGTGCCATCTTAACCAAGGGCTCCCCAACACCCTGCCTCTCATGGGGCACACACAAGCTTTCAGGCCTACCAACTCCTCAGCCAGGGCCCTTCCTGGGGAGGGGGCCAACCGGCACCGAGAAGGGCCCCGAGAACAAGTGCCATCCCCAAGCCCAGGAGGGGCTGGCTGAGGCTTCCACACGGGGACGGTCTGGAGGACATGGGTGTGAGGCCACTCTGGGTGCAGACCAGGCTTCTGTAGCACAGGTGCTGAGGATGCAGCTTTTACTCTTAGGAATGGAGGTCTTGGGCAGCTGGGGCTAAGGCTGGACACTAAACACAGCTCCTTCAGCGGGGAGCCCACCACAACTTACTGGTGCCGTGGACCTCCTCCCCAGTGAAGCGGATGTTGAAGGCATATGTGGGGTCACCACCACTGGCCAGCTTGACACAGAGCTGAGACGACGGCACTGAGGCCAGCTGCCTGGCAGCCTGACAGAAGTAGGAGTTTTCAGAAGCTCTGATTTCCCCTGGAAAGTGAGATGAGCTGATCAAAGCACCCCCCATGGCAGCCCTCTGCCCTTCCGTTGAGGACAGACCCCGGGCCTAGCAGGCCTGTGCCTGTCCCTGGACCCCTGCTCCCTCACTTGGCCCCCTGTGCCTTCTCTGCCCTTAGAACATCTTAGAGCCTTCTGTGCCTTAGCACTTGTGGCTCCCACCTCTGGAACCTGCCCTCCTGGGCCACCAGTGCTTGGACCCTTCTCATTTTCTAGAAGCTTCCCTCTGCCTCTCAGGGAGGTCCTTGCCCCCCAATTCCTCTCTCGTTTCCTCTGCGCATATCCCTTCTGTCTATACGCTGTGGCAGAGACTCTGGGGAGCCTCCCCAATGCCCTTCTCTCCCTTTCCTTTGATGCTGGAATCCCCATTTTTGGCAGTCGCACGGCTGATCAGAGCAAAGCCTGCCCCATCTGACCCCATGCAGCTAGGCAGGCCCCCGGAAGCCAAGCTCCTTCTGCTATGCCCCTTCCCCGAGCTCCTGAAGGGACCTTCCAGCAGGAAGCCACACACCAGGATGCTCCAGCAGAACGACAGGAGGAACTGCCGCACCAGCCCTGGACCCCCTTCTTCTAGAAGCTTCTTTTATGTTCCAGAAATCCACTAGTGTGTTTAGGCACTGCCATTTTGCATTTTTTGCCCTCTGCAGCCAACCTCACCTCCCACAATTTCCAGTGGGTCCAAGGTGATCTCAGGTGCCGCGTGGTCCGCTGTCCTCTGCACAGTGGCATTCAGCACTCGATTCATCACGGTCACTTTTGTGTCATAGAAGATCAGCCCTAAGGAGAGGAATGTGGGAGAGGCTTGGGTGGGGCTTTGTCCCTTCCTTCCCAGTCCCCCCAAGACTCTCTTTACGTCCCTGGGTATGGCACTCTCAGGCCCCCTGGTGGCAGCAGAGCCGGGTCCTGACTGTGGAGGGTGGTGTGTCGCATCTACCCAGCTGCTAAGTGCATGTACCCTTTGTCATTCCCAGGAGACACCCAATTTCCAGAAACAATGCAAAGAAACTAGAGTTGCAAAATGGAATGTAGAAAATGATACCTATTTTTAATTTAAAAAAAGACAAAAAGCTCTATGTGTGCACACGTGTCTGTCTGTATGTGAAGAGAAAAGTCTAGAAGGATAGATACTCATCTGTTAACAATGTCACTCTGGGATGTAGGGATGTGGAGGCCAGATAGTAAACAGAACTTCATATATTTCTAATTAATTTGAAAACCTTAAAAATAATTTTACTTTTCAGAGCATATGTTACTTTTATAATTAAAGTAACTTTCCTTGGGTGGACCTGTTGTTCCAGAGGAGCCCAGCCTGCTAGATGAAAGGTTTCGGGGGGCAGGCATCTTCCTGGGGGGCTGCCCAAGGACCCTGCCTGTGGATTCTGGCCCTGGCGTCTTGCAGGTCACCTCTCTCTTCCTGCAGGGCCAGGGCGGGTGCAGGCACTGACCTTTGGCCTCCTTCAACAGGGCGGCGATGCTATGGGTGTACATAGGTGTCTGGCGCAGCTCCACCAAGGGCAAGAAGAAGGTCTCCAGCGTGGTGTTGAGGGACTGCAGTAAGGCGAAGCGCAGGCGCAGGCTCTCGATGGGCACGTCTGCAGGGCGCAGGAGCAGTCAGGCTGAGATCTTGGCCAGATCGGCTGAGATGCCTGACTCACAGGCAACACAGGGGGTCCCTATCACTGGGAACAGGATTGGTGGATTTTTTACCTAGGACCCTGGAGACGCTGTCAGTGAGCGAGCGGCCCCTGATGTGCCTGTGCCTATGCCAAGCAGACACAAAGGGCGAGGCCCTGGCTGGCCAGATGAAGGTGCTGGCTCTTAAGGAGTCCAAGGCCCCCTCATCTACCTTCAGGGCCATGCCAGGGCTGTCCACTGTATTATTTTTTGACTTACTATTTTGAAATAATAATACAGGAGGTTGCAAAAATGGCACAGAGTCCCGTGTACATTTCACCCAGCGTCCCCCAATGGTGATGTCATATCAAAACCAGTAAACTGTGCTACTGGCACACTGCCCTTCAGTTCTTCACCCTTCACATTGCCACAGACGGAAGTCAGGGACAACCTCTTGCCCATCTTTACCTCCTTGGCACCCAGGAGAGAGCAAGGGCTCTGCACCTGTTGCTGATGAGGCAAGCGGCTGAGCACAGCCCCTGGTACGAGTGTAATGAGCTGCTCACCAACACGCTGTAAAGGGGGTACGTCTGGGAACTAACAATTTATATTTTGTGTGCAACCCTAGTTTTTTTATGGAGACGGGAGTTTTGCTCTTGTTGCCCAGGCTGGAGTGCAACGGCGTGATCTTGGCTCACTGCAACCTCCGCCTCCTGGGCTCAAGCGATTCTCCTGCCTCAGCCTCCCAAGTAGCTGGGATTACAGGCATGTGCCACCATGCCCGGCTAATTTTGTATTTTTAGTAGAGATGGGGTTTCTCCATGTTGGTCATGCTGGTCTTGAACTCCCGACCTCAGGTAATCTGCCCGCCTTGGCCTCTCAAAGTGCCGCAATTACAAGGCATGAGCCACTGCGCCCGGCCCAGAGAACAGCTTTCTCTCTTTTGAAAGACAGGAGCACCTGAATGGGACTTCCTGCAATCCTAGCTTTTAATAAAAACATGGTGTTCTCCATTATGAAGGCTAATGCCTCTACTGCAAGCTATCAGACTATAAATGCTTCTCACTCCCCATGGCAGCCCTGGCCTCAGTGGGGCCTCCAGGCAGTGGCCTGGGCATCCCCTGCAGCCATGCATTTCTGTATCTGCTCCCTGGCTTTGCTTTCATGGGCATCTAAAAAGGCCCCAGACTAATTAGGCCACAGTCCTGGCCCCCTGCCTTGCTCTCCCTGTTTCGTCAGCCCCCTCCTTCCTTGTGCACCTGGCGCGTAGCAGGTGTTCATGTTCTGAAGTGTTCGTTTGATGGGCGTCTAAATGAATCTAGCCCTTGTAAACACCCCTTGTCAGGGGGCGTGCCTGCATCAGGCAGCAGGGGAGGGGACAGGCCCAGGGCCACATACTCAGGAGACAGGCCACTCTGGGGTCCGCAGCATCCGCAGGGTCCAGGTACACCTCGTGGGGATGGAGCCGTGCGGGTGTGATGGCAAGGTGGCGGCACAGCTGGTTGATGTACTGCACGAGTGCCACGTCCATCTCCAGGGTCCACTTTCTTGAGGCCTTCTGTGCATGTCGGACATCGATGCAGGCGCACCTGGGGGTGGGAACAGGGGGAGAAGGGCAAAGTGAGGCGGGGTGCACTGGGATGACTGTTGAATTTCTCTTAGAGTCTTGTCCTCAGCTCCTGGAGCACATTGAGAAGACAGCCTCGCCTTCCAGGTTGTTTCTTGGTGCCTGTACCGCTCCTCATGGGGAAAGCTCTTTCAAAAGAAGCAAGCCAAGCACGCTGGCAGGAGTGGGAACGCTGCAGCCTTCTGGGAGGCGGCACCAGGCACCCACCCGTGTCTCACTCCCGAGAGTTGGCAGCACCGCGTGAGGGTGAAGGAGGAGTTCATAATAGCATCAGCTTGCAGTGTGTCACTAAACTTTCTTCTCCTTAGAGACAAAGTCTTGCTCTGTTGCCTGGGCTGGAGCACAGTGTGGTGATCATAGCTCACTGCAGCCTTGAACTCCTGGACTCAAGCAATTCTCCCACTACTCAGCCTCTCCAGTAGCTGGGACCACAAGTGCAAGCCACTACGCCTGCCTAATTTTAAAATTTTTATTTTTTTATTTTTATTTATTTTTTTTGAGACGGAGTCTTGCTCTGTCACCCAGGCTAGAGTGCAGTGGCCCGATCTCAGCTCACTGCAAGCTCTGCCTCCCGGGTTCATGCCATTCTCCTGCCTCAGTCTCCCAACTAGCTGGGACTACAGGCACACACTGACACGCCCGGCTAATTTTTTGTATTTTTAGTAGAGACAGGGTTTCACTGTGTTAGCCAGGATGGTCTCGAGCTCCTGACCATGTGATCCGCGCACTTCGGCCTCCCAAAGTGCTGGGATTACAGGCATGAGCCAATGCGCCTGGTTGATTTTTACATTTTTTTGTAGAGATGGGGTCTTGTTGTGTTGCTCAGGCTGTTTCTGAAATCCTGGGCTCAAGCCATCCTCCCTCCTCAGCTCCCAAAGTGCTAGGGTTACAGGAGTGAGCCACTGCGCCTGGCCAGTCATAAGAATTCAGTGACAGGATGCCTGTGAAGCAGTGCCCAGCACGTTCCGAATGCACAAGAATTGTCAGCTGCTGGTGTCACTGATGTCATTACTCTTTCCCCAGCAAGCCCATTCCAGAATTCACCTGTGGAGCTCTTAGAACGGACGGGCCACAGTGTGCTTCTGAGGGCACTGCTGCAGGGCTGTGTTACTGCAGCAACGTCAGACACAACCCAACTGTCCATCGATAGGGGATTAGCTGAATTACACTGCACCTAACAACGCAACGCTAGGAAGCCAGGAAAATGATCAAGTGGAATAATATGGGATGATGTGGACAAATTTTTAAACAGCAGATTGCAGGCCAGTCGAGGTGGCTCATGCCTGTAATCCCAGCACTTTGGGACGCTGAGGCAGGCAGATTGCTTGAGGCCAGGAATTTGAGACCAGCCTGAGCAACAGTAAAACTCCATCTCTACAAAAAACCCTCCACAAAAATTAGCTGGTCATAGTGGCATGTGCCTGCAGTCCCAGCTACTGGAGAAGCTGAGGTGGGAGGATCACCTGAACCCAGGAGGTTGAGGCTGCAGTGAGCTGTGACTGTGCCACTGCACTTCAGCCTGGGTTACAGAGTCAGACCCTATCTCAAAAGAAAAAAAGCAGATTGCAGAGCAGTATATCTTGTCTGATCCCACTTCAGGGGACTGAAAAAATGTACTTCCAGAAAAATGTTGGGTGAAATATTCACTGAAGCATCACAGAGCCATGCTGTGGGCACCGAATTCCGGACATGACCTTCTGGGTGGGTAGACACTGTGTGAGGTTTTCAGAAAGGGTGCATGTCCTTATTCCACAAATATTGGGCTATTAACCCAAGAAAGGCAGGCAGGCAGGCCTGGCACAGCCTCTAATTCCAGAGCCTGTAGCACCTTGAGTGGGCCACCTGTCATATTGGGAACATTACCCTGGGACCAGGGGAAGGGGGCGGTATCAGGTGTCTCCTTCCTACAGGCCACCTCTGTCCAATCCAAAGCATGCTCACAGACAGACCTAAGCCTCTTTCAGAAGGGGTCCTCCATGGCTCTCTAGGCTGAATGATCCAAGCAGAAGCCTTTGGCTTCCCTTAGAAAAGTCCACGGTGAGGCAGGAAGGATGTGTCAGGGCATCATCACCGCCCCAGAGGGCCCCTAGGAATGTGGCCTTTTATTGGGTATTTTTTTGTTTTTTTGAGACAGGGTGTCACTCTGTCACCCAGGCTGGAGTGCAGTGGCAGGATCTCAGCTCACTGAAGCCTTGGCCTCCCTTGCTCAAGTGATCTTCCCTCCTCAGCCCCCCAAGTAGCTGGGATTACAGGTGCGCATCACCACGCCCGGCTAATTTTTATATTTTTAGTAGAGAGGGGGTTTCACCATATTGGCCAGGCAGGTCTCAAACTCCTGACCTCGTGATCCGCCTGCCTTGGCCTCCCAAAGTGCTGGGATTACAGGTGTAAGCCACCGCGCCCAGCCCAGTTTCTGATTTCTAAAACAAGTTCAGAAAACTTGTCCCTGCCACCATAATGCAAGATCCATTCATGGACTGACTCTGAGCCTTTAATGATGGTACAAAAGGCTGGCAGCAAGCAGTAAAGCAGTTCTTAATTCTGAAAATGGATTTTTAAAAAAAGCATGTTTCGGTAGCCATTTTCTTTTTCTTTTTTTTTTTTTTTTTTTGAGATGGAGTTTTGCTCTTGTTGCCCAGGCTGGACTGCAATAGTGCAATCTCAGCTCACTGCAACCTCCACCTCCCAGGTTCAAGTGATTCTCCTGCCTCAGCCTCTCAAGTAGCTGGGATTACAGGCATTCACCATCACACCCAGCTCATTTTTGTATTTTTAGTAAAGACCGGGTTTCACCATGTTGGTCAGGTTGGTCTTGAACTCCTGACCTTAGGTGATCCGCCCACCTTGGTCTCCCAAAGTGCTGGGATTACAGGTGTGAGCTACCTTGTCTGGCCTTTTTTTTTTTTTTTTTTTTTTTTTTTTAAGACAGAGTGTGGCTCTTGTTGCCCAGGCTGGAGTGCAGTGGTGCAGTCTTGGCTCACTGTAATCCTTTGCCGCCTGGGTTCAAGCAATTCTCCTGCCTCAGCCTCCTGAGTAGCTGGGATTACAAGCGCCTGCCATCACACCCGGCTAATTTTTGTATTTTTAGTAGAGACAGGGTTTCATCATGTTGGCCAGGTTGGTCTTGAACTCCTGACCTCAGGTGATCCACCCGCCTCGGCCTCCCAAAGTGCTGGGATTACAGGCATGAGCCACCGCGCTCGGCCTTGGTAGCCATTTTCTTTTTCTTTTTTTGAGATGGAGTCTCACTCTGTCGCCCAGGCTGGAGTATAGTGGCGCGATCTCGGCTCACTGCAACCTCCGCCTCCTGGGTTCAAGCGATCGTCCTGCCTCAGCCTCCTAAGTAGCTGGGATTACAGGCATGTACCCCCTGCCCAGCTAATTTTCATATTTTTAGTAGAGACGGGGTTTCACCATATTGGCCAGGCTGGTCTCAAGCTCCTGACCTCGTGCTTCCCAGAGTGCTGGGATTACAGGTGTGAGGCACCGCGCCCGGCCTGGTAGCCATTTTCATTGATTGATGCCGGGTGCACTTGCTGTGGACAAGGCTGAGTAGGGGTGTGTGTGTGTGTGTATGTGCACACGCGTGTGAGCCAGAGGGAGGGCAGGGCAGGGTGATTTCTGGAGTACCTGGGATTCACTTATAGCTAGAAAGGGGAAACTATATTTAGTCCTGGAGCCCTGGAGAGCTGTGGCCTAGCTGTGCCCCTGCCTGGGAAGGAGTGAGGGCAATGGGGACTCGAGGCAAAGTGTGACTCTGAGGACAAGGTTCTTTGGGGTAAGAAATTGTCTGTTATGGGACTGAACTGTGTCCTCCCAGTCCCCAAACAGATACATATGTTGAAGCCCTAATTCCCAGTGTGACTGTATTTGGAGACAGAGCCTTTAAAGAGGTGCTTGAGGTCATCAGAGTGGGTTCCTAATCCAACAGGACTGGGGTCCTTGTAAGAAGAGGAGATTAGGACACAGATAGGTACTGAGGGAAGACTTCATGTGGGGACCTTGAGAAGGTGGCAGTCTGGGAGCCAAGAAGAGCGGCCCCAGGAGAAACCAGCACTGCTGACAACTTGATCTGGGCCTTCCAGACTCCAGAACTGACAGAGAACAAGTTTCTGTTGTTTAAGCCACCCAGGGTGTGGTGTCCTGTCACGGCAGCCCAAGCTGACCAGCACAGCCTCCAAGTCAGGAGTGTGGAGGAAAAGAACAGGTTTGTTTACAAGTGGGTTAGAAAATCCATTTAGCACTTAGGGAAAAACTCAGAAATTACGAAATAACTCAGAAAGCATTATCAACAGGGGAGATGGACCAGCTCCTCAGAAATTATGCTCTTGGCTGAAAACAATTTCTGTGCAAGGTGCCAACTGAGTTGAGGGGTAACCCTCTTACCTCTCAAAATGAAGATCATAACCACAGGACAAGATCGCCCTCCAGACACTGCGGATGTCTTGCTTGGCTCGGTCAACAACAAATTTGTGAAATCCTTCCAGCGTCAGGTATTTTTCCTCAGGGACTGGTGGAAAGGGTCCAGTGTGAGGAATCTGGTGAGACCTGAGCACCTCGCACGCCTCCAATGTGCTCTGCTCTCACCACAGCCTCTCCCTTAAGGCACAACCCACCTAATTCCCCTCTCCCTCCCGTAACTCTGGGAATTGTCATTTGCCATCACAACCCACTGCGCACAGGACACTCATAAGCCCTCATGTGCCCAGGCCCCCAAGGGCTCTGTCTCCCTTAACAGGCTGCAGTTTCCCACGTCCCCTCTTTCTATGAATCTCTAAAACATCCCCGACTGACAAAGCAATTTTCCAGACAACAAGAATAGCTTTCTCTAATGCTGCCTGGGCCTTTCTGGAGGCTTGCGTTCTACTGTCCCAGCACGGGCTGCTAGCTTAGGCCGTGCCTTCTAGAAGAAAGTGTCCATGCAGATTTCCCAATTTTCACTTTTTGGTCACAATCATCTATTCTTCATCCTGGGCGTGTGGTGTTTCCGGAACTGCTATTTTACCTCCTCAAGTTCACGGTCATCAAAGATGGCATCGAGGGGCGATCCCTGGCCAGGAATATTTCCCAGAATCTCTGGAAATGCTGCCCTGCCTGATACCCCAGGGAACCCAGAGCCCAGAGCAGAGGCCATCTCAGTAGGAGAGTGGCCAGTCGGGAAAAGCAGAGGCCTGCTCCGGGGGGGCTGCCCAGTCTCCAGGATGGAAACAGGTCCCAGCCCACTCCAGGCCCCATCTGCTCATTCACCTTCTTGTTTTTTGGTAGGGGACTTTTCTGGGTCCTTTTCATCTGGTTTGCTCTTTTCTGGTGACTTTGGCTTCACAGTTGGCTTCTTCTCACTTAAGGCAGTCCTGCTGTAGACCAAAGCACTGGAATTAGACTAATGCACGTTCACACCTCCTCCCGATAGGAAATACACAGCCTCGTACAGTCATTCATTCCTGCCCCCTCCTCCAACTTAGGGCTTAGGGCTCAGACAGGGCTAGGTTCAAGATCGCCTTTGCTCTGAGTGAGAAAAGTTTACTGAGCAAATTACAAGGACAAATCCGTGCCTTAAAATGTGAAAAATCTTGCAGAGACTCTTTTCAGACCCTCTTTCTACATATTTTAGAGCTACATTGTTCTATAAGGTAGCTGCTAGCCAGATGTAGCTACCTAAAGTTAATTAAAATGAAATATGATCACGAATTCAGTTCCTGTTCACCCTTGCCACAATGCAAATGCCCCATAGCCAGTTGTGGCTTAGGGGCTGCTGTACCCAACAGCACAGATATAGACATAGCACTGATTTCTACCAGCACAGAAAGCACTATGGGACAGTGCTGATTGAAAAACACCATTTCTACATAATGAATTAACTTTTTAAAACCTTTATTTTTCTGGTTAAACAATTCCTCTAGCGATTCTTGCTAGCTAATATTTTGCTATCAAGGTTTCATCTCTGTGTACTCGAGAGTCATAGACCCCGTATCTAAAGAATATTCTATTACATATATATGCATATCCACACATGGAATGCCATGTAGCTATTTTTTAAAAAAGGAATGGGGAATTCTTTTTGTACTGGTCTGAAATGATTTCCAAAATTAGTATTATATAAAAATGGCAGCCGGGCGCGGTGGCTCATGCCTGTAATCCCAGCACTTTGGGAGGCTGAGGCGGGCGGATCATGAGGTCAAGAGATCGAGACCATCCTGGCTAACACGGTGAAACCCCGTCTCTACCAAAAATACAAAAAATTAGCCAGGCGTGGTGGCGGGCGCCTGTAGTCCCAGTTACTCGGGAGGCTGAGGCAGGAGAATGGTGTGAACCCGGGAGGCGGAGCTTGCAGTGAGCTGAGATCACGCCACTGCACTCCAGCCCGGGCGGCAGAGCGAGACTCCGTCTCAAAAAATAAAAAATAAATAAGAAAAATAAAAATGGCAAGGTGTGGACATTGTGTATGGTACCCAACACTGGGCATATGTATAGAATTGCTTCCATATTTATAGAAAGGGTTCTTCTGAAAGGCTACAGAAGTAACCTTGCAGGCTCAGGGAGGGGAACTTCAAGGCTTAAGAATGGTCGGAAGGAAGAGTGGCTTTTCACTGCACATGCTTTTGAATTTTGTACTATTTTAGTCGTTCAAAACTTAAGAAAATAATATAGAGGCATAAATCAAAGGTCATGTACTTAAAAGTAGTTGCTATGCATGGGGCAATTTAATTTTTTCCAATAGGCACTATGCATTTTCTTTTTCTTTTTTTTTTGAGACAGGGTCTCGCTCTGTCACCCAGGCTGGACAGGAGTGCAGTGGTGTGATTATGGCTCACTGCAGCCTTGACTTCTGGGGCTCAAGCCATCCTCCTGCCTCAGCTTCTTGAGTAGCTTCTTGAGTAGCTGGGACCACAGGTGCATGCCACCACAGTCAGCTAATTTTTATATTGTTTTGTAGAGATGGGGTTTTGCCATGTTGGTCTTGAACTCCTGGGCTTAAGGCGTTATACATTTTCTAATCTTCCTACAATAACTATGCATTATTTGTGTGGCTAAAAGAAGTAGGATTAAAAAAAATGTACGGGGGAAGGGATAGCATTAGGGGATATACCTAATGTAAATGATGAGTTAATGGGTGCAGCACACCAACATGGCACATGTATACATATGTAACAAACCTGCATGTTGTGCACATGTACCCTAGAACTTAAAGTATAATAAACAACAACAACAACAAAAAAAAGTACAACATTTTAGATGTTGTCTTCATTTAGATGGGTCGGCTTTCCAGCCTGCATGGTCAGGATTTGACCACACCTGTGGATAAAATGAAACTCCAGTGTTCACCTGATGGAGCTGAGGACTGAGAAAGGAGCTCAGCAGAAAGGACCCAGACACCCACCGGGCGCAGTGGCTCCTGCCTGTAACCTCGGAACTTTGGGAGGCTAGTGCAGGCTGATCGCTTGAGCCCAGGAGTTCGAGACCATCCTGGCCAACATGGTGAAACCCTATCTCTACAGAAAAATTTAAAAAATTAGTCAGGTGAGGTGTCATGTGCCTGTAGTCCCAGATACTCAGGAGGCTGAGGTGGGAGGATCGCTTGAGCCTGGCTGCAGTGAGCTGTGATCGGGCCGCTGCACTCCAGCCTGGGCGACAAAGCCTGACACCAGGCTCCTCCAGAGGAGCTGCAGCCCCCCAGGCTCCTGCACAGAGGACGCCCCCACATCTGCCCACAGGCCAGGCTGCCCAGGCTCCTTGGGGCACACACCTGACGCTGTTGAGCACGGCCTTGTCCTTGGTGGGCGGCTTGGTGATGGGCCGCTTGGTGCTCACCACCTTCACGGGGTGCTGCTCCTTCCCGGCCTTGCTGTACTTGCTCTTGTCAAACTTGGGCTTTGGCACGCCATACTTCCTCAGGATCTGTGGAGCACAGAGGTGGCAGGGAGGCTCTGAGTTTTGTCCTGTGGGGCACGCGAGGCCCAGCCTGGGTATGGTGGGGACGGGCAGCTACCTGGGTGAGCTGATCCTCCAGCACCTTTTTTGGAGGCCGGACATTGGTGAAGAAGAGGTGGAGGAGGTTGCCTGGGGTCTGGGAGTTGATCTGCTCTTTGCTAAGATAAATGTCAGAGACTCTGATGGGCTTCGCTGGTGTCAGGCTCAGCGTCTGCTCTGAATGGGCACAGCTCTTAAATATCTCCGTCAGAACCTCTCTGGCCCCGGGCACCAGCTTCTCCCCTGTTGGATGGAGAGGGGGCAAAATAATTCTGCCGTGAACATACATCAGGACAAGCCCTGCGAGCATTCTGTTTGCAAACACTGTTTGAAAGGGGCAGTAGATGGACATCAGAGGAAGGGCGAGCTGCCCACCAAAGCCTGGTTCCCTCTCTGGGCACAGCCCAGCACATGCCCAGCCTTTCTTGCCGTAAGGTGAGGCCCTGCAACCGTGGTCACTGTGGGATGTGAGCCACATGGGGGCCAGGCTGCTGCCCTCTGCACTTGGCCCCTACCTGGCTGCTCGGGGATGACAGGCCCCTCCCCAAGGGTGGGCACACTTCAGTGCTCACCCTGACTCTTACATCTGCAGGGAATTAACTTCCACTGAACTTGAGTCATTGTCCTCCTGGGGCTATTTATCATAGCAGTTTAGTCTAGAATAATCCCAGATGATAGTCAGTCAGCAAGTATTTTTAGTTGGAAGTACAACTTGTTAAACAGGTGATCGCATTCTTAGGAAATATTCTTCAAAATTGGTGCAATGAGCAGGTGAAAAAGAAAGTTTTCTGAGATACAAGAAAACTGTCTATGAGCACTGAAAAAATATTTTTTTGTTCCTAAACAAGCACTCCAGAAGGTGCTCTCGCCTTTCCAAAGGGCCAGTCATGAACCCATCTGCATGTTCTCAGGAATCACTCCCTTCTCCTGGCAACCCAGGCCCCTCACTCCCTCTGGCCTGCTCCGTCTCCTGGGGAGTCTGGCCTAGGCCAGGCCCAGCTGTGGCAACTCCAGCACATCTGGGCTGAGGGTGGGAGGGGCAGGTGCGGGGAAGAGAGAGGCTGAGCCCTAAGCTGACTCAGCAGAGTCACAAGTTGAAACCCATGAGGCCAGGTGCGGTAGCTCACACCTGTAATCCCAGCACTTTGGAAGGCTGAGGCAGGTGGGTCACTTGAGGTCAGAGTTCGAGACCAGCCTGGGCAACATGGTGAAGCAAAATACAAAAATTAGCCAGGCGTGGTGGCGTGTGCCTGTTGTCTCAGCTACTTGGGAGGCTGAGACACAAGAATCACTTGAAACCAGGAGGTGGAGGTAGCAGTGAGCCGAGATGGTGCCACCGCATTCCAGCCTGGGTGACAGAGTGAGACTCTGTTTCAGAAAACAAAACAAAACAAAACAAAACAAAACAACAACCCTCACATGAGGAGTGTACCTGGCACCATGAGGCATATCCATGCAGTACCAAAAGACCAGGTACCATATGTGGAAAGTCTGACTGTAAAAGAACCAGGAACTAGAACTAAAATTCAGTATCTAAGTATGAGAAGACTGGGAAAGACAATCATGGCAGAAAGACCTCAGGCTTCCTGTCAAGCAGACCTGACATCGACTTGGGGGCAGCTGAGAGCTGAGGGGGCAAAACACATGCCAATAAGGGACAGGACTGGGACCAGGATGAGCCCACCGAGGCCTTTGCTCAATGCCAGGCAAGATTTAAGAAAATGCCAAAAACCTCAGTCATCAAGATAAACAATACTTTACTGTAGTATTTTAATCAGTCAAAATTATTTAGTAGCACTTGTGAGCTAAAAAAAAAAAAAAAAAAATTGGGCAAGGTGGCTCACGCTTGTAATCCCAGCACTTTGGGAGGCCGAGGCAGGCCTCCGCAGGATTACCTGAGGTCAGGAGTTCAAGTCCAGCCTGGTCAACGTGGTGAAAACCTCTCTCTACTAAAAATACAAAAATTTGCCAGCATGGTGGTGCCTGTAGTCCCAGCTACTCAGGAGGCTGAGGTAGGAGAACTGCTTGAACCCCAGAGGCGGAGGATGCAGTGGGCCGAGATTGCACCACTGCACTCCAGCCTGGGCGACAGAAAAAGACTCCATCTCAAAAAAAAAAAAAAAAAAAAAAATTAATGTAAAAAAACCTCCATAATAAGCAAAATATTTACAGTGCTGTGCTGACTGATATCAGAGCCCGAGAAAAAGATCAGTAACGCTGATCCTATCTTTATTTAAAATTTTAACACTTTGCTGATCATGGATACTTTACATTAATTTTGACTTAAAAAAAATGTACTAGAATATTTATCTTACTGAGTTTTCTGGAGCCCCATTAAATTGTGTCCCCAAGATCTCACTTACCTCACCCTGATCCTACCTCTGAGGGAACATTTCCAGATTTCATGATTGGGGTAAGCAAGTTTTTTTTTTTTTTTTTTTTTAAAGATGGGGTCACCCAGGTTGGACTGCAGTGGTGTGATATCAGCTCACTGCAGCCTCCGACTCCTGGGCTCAAATGATCTTCCCAGCTTAGCCTCCTGAGTAGCTGAGACTACAGGCATGCGCCACCATGCCCAGCTTATTTTATTTTTTGTAGAGACGAGGTCTCACTATGCTGCCCAGGCTGGTCTCAAACTCCTGGGCTCAAGCAATCCATCTGCCTCGGCTTTCCAAAGTGCTGGGATTACAGGCATAAGCCACTTTGCCGGGCCTGGGGTCATAATTTTAAACAACAAAACCTCTACTCAATATTACATTTTTTGGCTGGGTGCAGTGGTTCACACCTGTAATCCCAGCACTTTGGGAGGCTGAGGCGGGCGGATCACCTGAGGTCAGGAGTTTGAGACTGGCCTGGCCAACATGGTGAAACCCCGCCTCTACTAAAAATACAAAAATTAACTGGGTATGGTGGTGTGCCTGTAATCCCAGCTACCGGGGAGGCTGAGGCAGGGAGAATTGCTTGAACCCGGGAGGTGGAAATATCAGTGAGCTGAGACTGCATCACTGCACTCCAGCCTGGGTGACGGAGCAAGACTCTGTCTTAAAAAAGAGAAAAAATTACAATTTTGTACTTCAAAAACACAAAACAACACAGCAACTCTATGACGAAATTTCAAACATTAAAGAATTAGATTAAGGCCGGTGTGATGGCTCACGTCTATAGTCCTAGCACTTTGGGAGGCCGAGGCTGGAGGACTGCTTGAGTCTAGGAGTTTGAGACCAGCCTGGGCAACATAGGAAGACTCTCTGTACAAATAATAAGTAAAATAATTTTTTTTAAAGAAAAGAATTTTAAAAAGAAAAAAGGAATAAAAAAAGAAAAAAAGAGGAATTAAAAAAAAAAAAGAAATTAGTGGGAAGGAGACAGAGTTTGCTCCACAAAAGAGCCACCAGAATGGCAAAAGGGCTGGCAAACGGGACTCAGAGAAAAAAGGGCTGGAACTGTTTCTTTCCCAGGGGTCAGTTTACAAGGGAGAGGCATGAGCTGTCCTCAAGCATATGACCAAGTACTTACCAGCAATGTTCTAGCTGCATAGGACAGAACAAAATAAATACACTTGCACTTGAACCAGGGGAAGCCTGGCTAGACAAAAAGGAAAAAATGACTTGAATACAAGCCCACATTCAAGCCTGTTGCAGGCGGTACAAAGCCACCCCTGGTAGCCTCTCCAGCTGGAACACGGCAGGCCTGTGGCAGGGGCTGCCCCCATGGCCTTCAGCGCCCTGACAGCTGGGAGAGGAGGGGAACATTTCTTCTTTTCACATCATACAAAGATGCACACAATCAGCCCCTACTGGCAAACAATGGAGCCTCTTGTCCCATCTCCCCAACACTCTCTGAATTGTTTTCAAAATCTGCAACCCAGGAATAGCTGCCAAGTTCCTCTTTAATGCAAGATGTTAAAAATAGGGGACACTGGGGAGGAGAGGAGATTTTAATGCAACTTTTTTCTGTGAGCCTAAAATTGCTCCACAAAAAGTCTACAGATTAAAAACAAATCCAGAACCCACCTTTAATTGACTTATCATTGAAATAATCTTCTAACCCTGGGCTCCCTTGAGTATCAAAGAGACTCTGATTTACTACAGACACGGTTAGAATCTCTTCGGTTGACATTTCCATCAATTCATCTTCACCATCCAAACTTGACAAACCAATCAAATCATTATTGTTAAATAAACTTGCTCGAATTTTCTCAATTTTGGCTCGGGATCTTATCTGTGTGAACAGAGAACAGGGTCAGGATTTGAGTAGCGTGACCAGGCATTCAGTGTGAGTGAACTTCTCCCTTCCATCTTTTCCTGGAAACTCTGTATTCGTCTGGAGAGATGTGAGAGCTGCCCGACTCCGGTGAGCTGGACCTCCTGGGAAACTTTCTCCCACAGGCCAACAACAGCAACTTTTAGCAAACAACTCAACCTGAAACCTCGTCACTAAACCTCGGCTAGGTCTGTGGCTTGCCTCTGTTTCCCAGGGAGTAAAAATCCATGCCTAACTGAGGAAGTCCCCACGAAGGAGGATGATGGATTCAAAGAAGTGATTCTAGGAAAGAAACTAGCTGCTTGATCCTTGAACCTTCCTTGCAGAGCCTGCTGGGAGAGTATAACGCATGTCAGTTCCCCACCTGTACTGTTACGCAAAGGCACAGAAAGGCTTTGATGCAGGATTTCTAAACAGCGAGGCTTAAGAAATACATGGGATCCTGCAGTGGAACTATGACTCGCTGGCATGCAGGTTATCTGAAACTCAGAATCACCTGGGACAGAATGGCAAGCGTCTATCCTCACACTGCTCAGTGACCATCCCTCCTGCCAATGGCAACACCAAAAAGAACAAAAAGAACCCAAGGCTGCTCAAGAAGATGCGACGGGGCTGAGTCAGAATGCACCGATGGCAGCCACCCACCATGGAAGGCCAGGCCCTGAGCCCTCTGGCTCCCCTTTACTTCGTGATATGGGACTTGGTGTCACTCTTAGAGATGTCATCCCCAGCAGACTCATTGTGCTCATTCCAAGGGCTACCCCAGGGAGCCCCTGACTGCTCCACCATTACCTACTAGGAAATAAATTTGGAAGGTTTAAAGAGGCTTGGGGGATTGAAATGGGTCATGATTTAGTGGTTGCAGAGGCTTGCGAGCTGTTACCTCCACCACTGCGAAGCCTTTGATGGGGCGTGCCACTAGGGGCTGGTGGTCCAGGGAAGTTACTGTGTACATGGAGCCCATGTCTGACACCAAGGCCGTCTCTGCATTGTCCAGGGGCTCCCCCAGGCTGCCCAGGCTGCCCAGGCTGCCGGTGCTGCACAGGGAAATGTCCAGGCTCTCCTGGCTGGACACCACGTGGGGCTCCAACAGGCCCGGAGGGATGGGCAGCTCGAGGCCGGCAGGCAGCGGATCCACGGAGAGGTCGCTGACAGTTTGGGAGATGCCCTGGGAGCTGCAGATGGAAGCCTGGCTGGTGGAGGCAGAGGCGCTGATGCTCATGGCGGGGGTCAGGCTGCTGGACGTGCTGACTTCCATGCTGTCTGAGCCAGGGAAGGCCAGTGTCTTCTCGGGCTCAGCTTTCCCGTCCCCGCCCTCGGCCTTGTCTTTCGGCTTCTTGGGGTCTTCTTCCTGCAGCGGGATGTAGATCTCGTCTTTGAAGACCCCGCCGTGGGCGTTGCAGGCCTTGCGGATGGCGCCTCTGACTACGCCCTCGTCCAGGTGGGTGGGGATCCCGGAGATCACAAGCAAACGGCTGTGGGCGGTGGGGCCCACCAGGGCCTGGCAGGCATCAGCGATGGCGTCACTCGTCACGCCCAGCCCCTGTGGGTCCTTCCTGGTGAGGTGGCGGAGGATGATGAGTAGGGTGAGTGCGCGGTGGAACCACAGCATGTCCTCGGGCTTGCTGCCTCCGATGCTGAGCACAGTGGGGTCCGAGTCCATGGTGCGGGAAGACTGGCGCTTGCCCGACGAGGCGGCCTTTTCCCGCTTCATCTTGACTTTTTTCCTCTTGGAGAGGAGGCTGGGACTCTGCGGGGTCTGTCCTGGCGAGGACGAGGAGGAGGAGGACGAGTCACTGAGATTTGGGGCGGTCGCTGAGGTCACCCCGCTGGCTGTGACACTCATGTTAGTAGGCAGGGTCACTTCGGCCACCGCCAGGCACCCTTCCATGAGTGCATGAAAATACGTAGAGAACCTGCCCTGGTCGCCGGCCGCCGGGCCCCCGGATCCCCCACAGGTGCTGCCTGAGACCCAGTTCTGCGTCTCCTCATCGTACAGCTTGTGGAGCTCCGACTGCAAGGCCATCAGCATGGCCAGGCAGGGGTTCAGCTGGAGGGCGATTGAGGAGGACAGGCCAGCGGGGTGCCGCCTCTGCTCCAGGGTGTGCACAGTGCGCAGGAGCTCTGCCAGGAGATGGAAAACAAGCTCCTTCACGCAGGCTGCCATGTCCGTGGTCCACAGGAAGTTTCCTGAGGCAAATGAAAATAGTAACAGTAATTACTATGCAGCACTGGCTACGTTCCAGGCCCCTCATAACAACTCTGTGAACAGAGACTGTGCAATTCAGTCCCTTCTTACAGATGGAGAAACAGAGGTTGGGAGGTGGAGGCCTGGCTGGAGGTCACACAGCTACTAGACAAGAGAGCTGGGATTCAGAGCTCAGGGGTCGGCCCCAGAGGTGAAGGCTTTGACCCTTGTGCCCAATGGCAGGGTGCCAGCAAAACACCATCATTTTCTGTCTCAAAAGGTTATGCAGCATGTTGGTGATAAGTCCCTAGAATAATGTTTCCCAAAGTACTGGATGCTTACTATGGGGCACACAAGCCAATTTTACCAAATGGCACTGAAACACACACTGAAACATTGTTCCTTTTAAACTCCTCTTTTAGTCCTGATTTTTGTCAACAAGAAAGCCTTACTTTGAGGGTGGTTTTTTTTGTTTGTTTGTTTGTTTTCTGAGACAGGGTCTTGCTCTGTCACCCAGGCTGGAGTGCAGTGGCACAATCATAGCTCACTGCTGCCTCAGCCTCCTGGGCTCAAGCGATACCTCAGCCTGAGTAGCTGGGATTACAGGTGTGTGAGACCATGCCCAGCTAATTTTTGTATTATTATTTTTCTTTTGCAGAGACAGTTTTCATGGTTTTGCCATGTTGCCCAGGCTGGTCTAGAACTCCCGGGCTCAAGTGATCCTCTCACCACAGCCTCCCAAAGCGCTGGGTTTACAGGTGTGTGCCACTGTGCCTGGCCATGAGGCTGGCACATTCTTTTTTTAAAAAATCTTTTTAAAAACTTAAATCATATTTTAAAAATACTTTATTTTTTTATTTTTTATTTTTTGAGAGTGAGTCTCAGTCTGTCACCCAGACTGGAGTGCAGTGGCATGATCTCAGCTCACTGCAACCTCTGACTCCTGGGTTCAAGCAATTCTCTACCTCAGCCTCCCGCATAGCTGGGATTACAGGCTCCTACCATCATGTCCAGCTAATTTTTGTATTTTTAGTAGAGACAGGGTTTCATCACCTTGGTCAGGCTGGTCTTGAACTCCTGACCTACCTCGTGATCCACCCGCCTCAGCCTCCCAAAGTGCTGGGATTATAGGCATGAGCTACCGTGCCTGGCCTTCTTTAATAATTTTTTAAGCTACTTTGTTTTTGTTTGTTTGTTTGTTTTGTTTTGTTTGCTGAGACAGAGTCTGCCTCTATCACCCGGGCTGGAGTGCAGTGGCATGATCTCAGCTCATTACCACCTCCGCCTCCCAGGTTCAAGTAATTCTCATGCTTCAGCATCCAGAGTAACTTGAATTACAGGCATGTGCCAGGACACCCAGATAATTTTTATATTTTTAGAAGAGATGGGGTTTCATCATGTTAGCCAGGCTGGTCTTGAACTTCTGGCCTCAAGTGGTCCGTGTGCCTCAGCCTCCCAAAGTGCTGGGATTACAGGTGTGAGCCACTGTACCTGGCCAAGGCTGGCATATTCTTTTTTGTTTTTTTGAGACGGAGTTGTGCTCTTCTTGCCCAGGCTGGAGTGCAATGGCGCAATCTTGGCTCACCATCACCTCTGCCTCCTGGGTTCAAGCAATTCTCCTGCCTCAGCCTCCCGAGTTGCTGGGATTATAGGCATGCACCACCACACCTGGCTAATTTTGTATTTTTAGCAGAGACAGGGTTTCTCCATGTTGGTCAGGCTGGTCTCTTAACTGCTGACCTCAGGTGATTCACCCGCCTCGGCCTCCCAAAGTGCTAGGATTATAGGTGTAAGCCACTGTGCCTGGCCGGCTGGCATATCCTTAAGAGAAAGTGGGCCAGAGTCCCAGAGCCTTTGACAGGGAACAGTATTCAGCTAGATTTTTGTGACGGCAACTCTTTTCTTTGAATGTATGTATGTATGTATGTATGAATGGATGGACAGATGGACTGATTGACTGATTGAGACAGGGTCTCATTGTGTTGCCCTGGCTGGTCTTGAACTCCTGGGCTCAAGTCATCCTTTTGCCTCAGCCTCCCAAAGTGGTGGGATTACAGGTGTGAGACACCAGGCCCAGCCTGTATTTATTTTTATGGGCACCTTTTAGTTATGCCAATGGATACTAATTTTGTATTTAGAGAAGTGATGTAAAGGTTTTCTTTTTTTTTTTTTTGAGACAGAGTCCCGCCCTGTCACCCAGGCTGGAGCGCAGTGGCGTGATCTCGGCTCACTGCAAGCTCCGCCTCCTGGTTTCACGCCATTCTTCTGCCTCAGCCTCCCGAGTAGCTGGGACCACAGGCGCCCGCCACCATGCCCAGCTAATTTTTTGTATTTTCAGTAGAGAAGGGGTTTTACCGTGTTAGCCAGGATGGTCTTGATCTCCTGACCTCGTGATCCACCTCGGCCTCCCAAAGTGCTGGGATTACAGGCATGAGCCACCGTGCCTGGCCAAGGTTTCCTTAAAACTAAATTTAAGTTTTAAAAAAGGAGGAGTTGATTGCAATAAAAATTGTTAAATAAATAAATGCTGGCTGGGTGCAGTGGCTCATGCCTGTAATCCCAGTATTATGGGAGGCCAAGGCAGGTGGGTCACCTGAGGTCAGGAGACTGAGACCAGCTTGGCTAACATAGTGAAATCCCGTTTTTACTAAAAATACAAAAAAAATTAGCTGGGCATGGTGGCGGGCGCCTGTACTCCCAACTACTCAGGAGGCTGGGGCAGTAGAATCACTTGAACCCAGGAGGCAGAGGTTGCAGTGAGCTGAGATCATGCCACTGCACTCCAGCCTGGGTGCAGTGGATCATGCCAATGCACTCCAGCGAGACTCCATTTCAAAAAAATAAAATAAGTAAGTAAATAAATGCTGATAGGCACAATTTGTGGACATGGCAACAATCATACAATGGTGGCATGATAATGACTGAAGTTTGGGAAACACTGTCTAGAACCACAAGATGGACCACACGTTTGTGCCAAGGTCTCCTTCGTACCAGACGCGTATCTTACATTCACACATACCCTGGATCTGAGTGGAAAGAGAGAAAGCTCATGTACGTAAGACACGATTAGGGATCATGAACATCTAAAGCCTGCATCCCACTGAGCCAGCTGAGCCCTCACCCTGCAAAAGAGCGAACTGCAGTTTGCTACATCCAGATGGCTCTTGTACAGGATAAAAGATTACTGGCCGGGGGAATCCCAAGGGCCTGCTGAAGCTGACTTATTAAGTCCAGCACCTACCAACGAGGGGACCAAGCTTCCTGCTCTCTCAGGACTGACATTGCTTGCGAATTCTGGTTGGAAACAAGTTTGTGACTGTCCTGGAACATGGGCTCTGATAGAACCTTCACAGAGGACAGGTGTCCATGCTCCCCTCTCCACTGGGGCACAGGGCTAGGCCCTCAGATGCTAGAACTATTCACGTCACCTCCGCTGTCCTTGCTTTACTGTTTAGCATTCATGTAAGATGACCTTGGAGATAGTTCTTCACCAAAATTATACATGGCGGCCTATGAGCTGAAACTCATTCTCAGACAGTGTTCCCGCTTATGTTCCCCCTATCCACTCCCTGGGTGTTTTTCATTTTTTTTTTGCAGAGAAAGGGTCTGGCTATGTTGCTCCATATCCTGAACTCAAGCGATCCTCTTGCCTCAGCCTCTCAAAGTGCTGGATTACAAGTGTGAGTCACTGCACTCGGCCCTCCTAGGGTGTACGAAAGAATTTGACTTGGTTGCCAACATTTAAAAATTGAGAAATTCACATCGACATTTGGATTCCTGGATTTTCTTGAAATAAGAAATTACGGTTCTGGCAGGAGCAGGGCCATGTTCTCCTGTAGCAGTGGGTGACAGGACACGTGTCCCCTGTGCCTCCAGCTCACCAAAGTCCCCCTGCCAACTTTCCTCTTTATTTCCCTCATTTAGCTGATCTGTGTGAACCCTGAAGGCACTGAAGGCATCCGAGTGTGCAACGTTTTCTGTTTTGAGATGGAGCTTCACTCTTGTTGCCCAGGCTGGAGTGCAATGGCGCAATCTCAGCTCACTGCAACCTCTGCCTCTTGGGTTTCAAGCAATTCTCCTGCCTCAGCCTCCTAAGTAGTTGGGATTACAGGCATGCACCACCATGCCCGGCTAATTTTTTGTATTTAGTAGAGACAGAGTTTCATCATGTTGGTCAGGCTGGTCTCATACTCCTGACCTCAGGTGATCCACCCACCTCGGCCTCCCAAAGTGCTGGGATTACAGGAGTGAGCCACCGCGCCCGGCCGAGTGTGCAATGTTTCATTCCCTGCAACATCATGAAAAAATTAAAAAATACAGAAAGCCTGAAGAAATTATACAGTAAATACCTGTGTACTTACCAGCTAGATTCCACCATAAACATGTTGTGCATTTGCTCTACTACATGTCTATCTACCCCTCTCTTCATCCACACACCCATCTTAGTTTTTGATTATTTCAAAATAAGTTGTAGACATCTGTATGCTTCCTCCCTACACACTTAAAGAGGTATATCATTAATTAAAGTTTAATATTTATTTAGAACTTGTTTAGGTAAATTTGCATATGGTAAAATGCACAACTTTTTCATTTATCATTCCATGAGTTTTGCAACCTTCTTGACCCTTTGAGGACCTATGCAGTTATAACCTTTGATTTTGCAACATTGTTCATTTCCACACCACCCTTCACCCCTAAAGTTATAATAATGGCGTATACTTCTGTTTTAAAGTAAAGTGGATAAAGTTAATCTTATTTTCGTCGTTCGTTAGTTGCCACTCCTCAAAATAATGAAAATACCCGACAAATCATGGATTTGGGAGTCTAGGTTGTACCTTAAGATCTATTCCCCAAGCCCACTTCAAACGACAGCAATCTGAAGGAGGCTGCAGCTGCCTGGGTTACCTGTGGCCACTCCCTGCACCACCTGGCAAGCTCCTTCCTCAGGCACCATGCCGGCTCCACCCACACCCTAGATTCCGATCCCCAGGGAAGGCAGCCTCACCTAGCAGCTCCACCACCTGCAGGAGGACGGATGTCGGAATGGTGTCAGGCTCATCTTCGGACTTCCCTTCACTGTCCTCTGATTTCCAGGACAGCAGCTGCTCTGCGAAGGCCATAGCCAGTGGGAACTCCAGGGGCAAGGAATGTAACACCAGAACCGCTCCAGGAGGTGGAGACACCCCTGCAAGAAGCACCCAGGAGGAAAGCAGGTGACTGGCAGCACCTGACCCAAATAAGCCTCACAAAAGATCCTGCCGGGTGTGCATGCAGAAACAGGGCTGGAGAGCCCACCCACTCATCTGCTCCAGGATGAGGACACATAACTCCCGACACTCCGGACAGTGGGCTGCAGGGACACGAGGAGATGGAGGCTATCCCTCCAGGGAGTCCTCTTACTGGGGTGGATTCAGCAAATGCGACAAAGGGCAGAGATGAGAACAGAGGACACGCACTTGTCATTCAGTTAGATACCAACTAGCACGGGGACAGTAACACTTTAAAAGATGCCTCACTGGGATATTCCCAGCTTGGTAAAGAAATAATCAGTCCTTTGGTATGGCTGCAATCCCACTAAGACCATTATGCTTATACAGTGGACCAGCAAGGGGTCCCCAAGACTTAAGACTACTGGCACCTTGGGTTTTGATTATCTTATCACCTTTTGTCACTGCCATGGCCTACGTGTGACCAAAGCTGTCTACGGTGAAAGGAAGAAGGTCCAAGGCTTGATCCCCCTCACATCCTGCACTGCACCCCAAGCCCCTCTATAAACACCAGTCAGACAGAAGCCAGGGCATCAGAGGGCTTTGGACAAGTCAGAAGCAAACCACATTAGCTTGTGTACTCTGGGGTGAATGTTTACATGGTGATAATTGTGGAATGACAGAGATCCTCTGTTTTAAATGTAAAGTTTAAAATATAGCTAGTATAGGCAAAATACTATGAAAAACAGACTCTAATAAAAAAGACCATAAAGTTGTTTAGCAATGACGAAATCACTTAAGAAATGTCCTTTCATTTCATTCCCTAAGATGCAGTGTCTCAAGGACTGGGGCTGTGGAGAAGCCCAGGCCTGTTATTTTGGCTAAAAGTTCATATATGTTTTCTGTCTCTGGCAAACACGTGTCAGTCTTTTCCTGTCAAGCATGCCAAGAAGGAGCAGTGCAGGCCTGTGACAAGGATTTCCTTTCTTTTCTGTGCATACTCAGATACAGAGCCAGCGGGCCCTGGTGCATACAGAGGACAGGCAGTGACAGCTTCAGGGCATGTGGAGGCAGAGCCCTCATCTAACTCTAAAGCCATGGAGGCTTCAAAAAAATGCCCAGGAGATGAGAGCAATCGAGCTTCCAGTTAGATGAGGAGCAGACGCTCACAGTGGCCAGTGCCCCGGTGAGCCATGTTGAGAATTTGGTTAATGAGAACTCAAGGAATGGCAACTGGGATTATCATAGCCTGAGTCAGCTGTAAGGTTGTGATTGCTCTGGTTATATCATTCTAAACAGACACATCTCAGCACACACTTGTGAAAAGAAACGAAATCTCCAATGTAGTCTGGACAGCATCTGCCAGGCCTTCCCAGGTAGGAAAGATAAGTCTTTTAATTTACTGCCTCTAAAAGAAAGAGCAGTTTCTTCTAGAAGAAGTCCCAAGAAGTCCTATTCTTTATCAATAGGAATTGGAAAATGCAAGGTACACAATTTCACAAAGAAGGCAAGCGGAGAATGACTCCAGCTGTTCTCATCACGACAAGCTGCTGGAGACTCACCCAGTTTGATGTGGACCCTGTCTGTGGAGAGGACCACAGAGGGGTACTGGTCAGCGGTGGGGGGAGGTGCAAGCCCAGTGTTGGCCGGGGATGCGTCCCGTGGGTAACAGGCGGCCTCGATGAGGTTCAGCTGGCCATTTCGCTTCACTTTGTGGCCGAGGCCGTATACAAGCACCCGTGCCCATGGCGCCTTGTACAGAGAGGAGCTGAGAAAGAGGGATGGGTGGGTGTTAATACAGGGTCTAGCCACACACATGGGGATAGGCAGCATTGCCTTCTCACCAGGGGACATTAGATGAGAACTGGGCCCAAGTCATTTCCACCATACTTTAGAAGGTCATTCTTTATAGACTAATTCCCCAAACACAGAAATATGAAGAGAACTGTAAGTCATTTGCATTAAAGAATCAAAGTGATTTGAATTTTTTTCCTCGGCCAGTTTCACTAGAATTTATTTAGCTTTTCTCTCCCCATCACCATCTTCTTGAGAACAGGCAACTTACTCTTTGCGGAATCCAGACTGACTTTCTTTACAAGACACAACAACAAAAGCTGCCCCAGGGAAATTCACGTCCATGTTGACTTTGGATTCGGAAATTGGGAACTCTTCGGAGGGGAACTGCTCTGGTGCTGTCTGCAAAGAGACATTGAATAAGGAAAGCCACGGGCTAAACATAGGGACAGCATTTCATCTTCTCATCTCACATGGCCCAGGAAATCAGCCAAACGACTAAATAGCCCTCTGGAAGGAAGCAACCTACAGATGAGATAAAGCAGAAGAGCTTCTAGGAAAAGGAAATTGAGAGGAATGGGGACTTGGAGGGGAAAGGAGAGTCATTTTCAGCAAGCCAGTGAGACTCCCAGTAAAAAACGGTAACCACACTGCAGGAACATGAGCTTTAGACTTCTACCTGCAGGAAAGAGCAGATCTGTTTCGTCAGCTCTAAAAGGCTCTCCTCGCCCTGGTGCAGGGTCCGGGTGATGGCCACGTTGAGCCACTCTCTCACTGTCTGGGAGTTGCCCTGGTAAAAGAGGTCCGTGGCGGAGCAGTTCTGGGAATGGATGCAATGCTGTAAAGACTGCGCCAGGAGGATCGAGCTGGAGCTGATGGTGCCGTCTGGGGACGGAAAGGAAACAGAAGTTGACAAGAATCAAAGCAGCCAGTAGCTGCGAGAGTCTAAGTAACAGACAATGAATAACCCATCCAGAAACCCCAGATGGGAGGGTTATCCTGGATATGATGTCCTGGATAACAGATGCCGGCAATCAGATCCTCTGCTTTAGGATGGTGGAGGGGGACCCAGGAGATCAATGGGCATCATACTTTTGCTTTCTTTTCAGCTGTGAAACTGTTTCCTAAAATAAAATCTAAAGAGAGGCCCAGGTCTATGAAATATATCAAATGGGGCTGCTTGGATCCAGGGGTTCCTAGAGCCTGATCTGTCTGACTACCCTGGCCCGCCCTCGCAGGGTACCTCAGGGCAGAGCCTGTAGAGAAGCTTGTTAGATCATCATGGCAAAGCTTCTGCCACCACACTTGATGCTTTCCAGGTATGTTTCAGGGCATCTAAGTTCTTGGGGTGGGCTGTGGACCCCAGGTGCTCATATGGGCCAGTAGAGATGTAGGGCATACATGCCCTGGCTGGGTGGGACCCCACAGTTGTCAGCTGGAGGGCAGCTACCCAGGATGCTGACTGAGCTCAGAATGCTATCTGCAAGTGAGCTTTGAGGGGTGCCCCCTGCCTGCCTCACCTCTTTTTTTTTTTGAGAGAGAGAGTCTTGCTCTGTTGCCACGTTGGAGTGCAGTGGCACAATCTCGGCTCACTGCAACCTCCGCTTCCTGGGTTCAAGTGATTCTCCTGCCTCAGCCTCCCAAGTAGCTGGGGACTACAGGCACCCACCACTACGCCCAGCTAAGACCTCTTGTTTCCATCTCAGTTGCTGGGAGATCAAGGGGGCAGGTCAGAGGCTGAGATGCCAGGGGAAGACAGAAAGGGCCCCTCAGTCCTGGACAGGGCTGAGGGCAGACTCATCACCTGGCATTCACTGGGTAGCAGACACAGCCCTCATGCCAAGGGCTGACCTTTGGAACAGCCTCACCAGAACTTATGATGAACCAAATAGGTCTGCTTTGGAGGACGCTGATGACAGGAACATTCCCTTTCTTTCTAATGTCAAATACACTGTCTGTGGCAACAATACAGTGACTTCGCTTCATAAATAATACTTAATTTTCTTTGATCCACAATTATTCTGGGAAACTCGATGAATGCTTAACAGAGTAATGACTCAAGAGAGTAATCCATTACATTTTTCAAAGAGTGAGAAAGCCCTGCCAGGAGAATCCCAGTTCCTGGGTGCAATTTCTCACATGAGCCTATGCGCACAATGAGGCACTTCTCGCCCTCACGCGGGGAATGACTACACTATGCACAGCACCCGCCTGGTGCCGAGTTCCAGAGTGACAGCAGCAAAGCCAAGTTTTACCTGGGAGGGGAGGCGCGAGGAGCTGATTGGACAGCAGCTGCAGGTGCTCCAGGGTAATGTCCCGGATGGCAGGGATGTGGAAGAGGCGGGTGAACAAGTGAGGCAACTTGGGGGCGAAGATATTGAGCAGGGCCATGCGGCAGTACAGCCTGGCCAGCGCAGCCTCGCAGCGCAGCAGCTCCCTGCAAGAGAAAAGGTAGGTGAGATGCTCAAAGCCCTGATGCTCCGGCCCCCATACTGGGACCAGGCCGCAGGTTCTGAAGGGAGAGGATCCCATCTCAGGCTTCTCTTCCAGCCTGATGTTCCAAACCCTAAGGGAGTCACTTGAGTTTTAAACAAAAGTCACATTGAGTTATATTGTTAAGTTTGATTTTTCCCAGCTCAAAAAAGTACTGTAGGGAAAAAAATAAAAATACACGTCCACACAAAAATTTGTACATGTATGTTTTTTGCTTTTTTTTTTTTTTTTTTAAATTTGAGACGGAGTCTCACTCTGTCGCCCAGGCTGGAGTGCAGTGGCACGATCTTGGCTCACTGTAAGCTCTGTCTCCCAGGTTCATGCTATTCTCCTGCCTCAGCCTCCCGAGTAGCTGGGACAACAGGCTCCCGCCACCACGCCCGGCTAATTTTTTGCACCTTTGGTAGAGATGGGGTTCTACTGTGTTAGCCAGGACGGTCTCGATCTCCTGATCTCGTGATCCGCTCGCCTCGGCCTGCTAAAGCACTGGAACCATAGGCGTGAGCCGCCGCGCCCGACCCACATGTATGTTCATAGTAACATTATTCATAATAGCCAAATAGTGATAAGAACTCAAGTGTCCATTAACTCAATGGTAAGTCTATACAATGGAGTATTATTCAGCCATCAAACAGATGAAAGACTGACACATGCCACAACAGGAATAAACCTTGAAACATCATGTTCAGTGAAAGACACCAGATACAAAGGGCCACATATTGGACTCCATTTCTGTAAATTGTCCAGAGGAAAATGCAGATAAATAGAAAATAGATTAGTGGTTGCCAGGAGATGGTAGGAAAGGAGGAAGGGAAGTAACTGCTATGGGTATGGGGTTTCTTTTGGGGTGATAAAAATGTTCTAAAATTGATTGTGGTAATGGTTGGACGACTTTGTGAATGTAATAAAAACCACTGACTTGTGTACTTTAAATGGGTGAATTGTATGGTATGTGAATTATATCTTAATAAAGCTATTACAAAAATACCATTGTGGGCATTTTTTTATGTGATAAATCTGTGAAGTGATCGGCATTCAACTTGAATAACAGCTCATTAGTGCCTAAGCACATCAATGGCTTACACTTGTAATTCTAGCACTTTGGGAGGCCAAGGCAGGAGGATCACTTGAGTTCAGGAGTTTGAGACCAGCCTGGGTAACATGGTGACACTCCCTCTCTACAAAAAAATAGAAATCGCCCTGTAGTCTCGGCTACTTGGGAGGCTGAGGTGGGAGGACTGCTGAGCCCAGTAGTTGGAAGCTGCAGTGGGCTATGACTGTGCCACTGCACTCCAGCCTGGGTGACAGAGCAAGACTGTTTCTAAAAAACAAAAACCTAGGCCCCAAACTCACTCTGAACCCACGGGGGTCATTTGATATTCCTACTGACTCTAATTAAATTTAATGTTGGTATATCATAATTCAAATTTAGGTGTAATGGCAATTAAAGAAACAACCCCACATGGAACACTTGATGAGTGTATGTGTGAAGTGAAGATAAACAAAAAGAAGACAGCTAAGAAACTACATCGTAGGTGGTTTCTTCCTTATCAACACCAGTCTCTGTGGTTCTCATGCCAGGATGAATAATAAACACACTTCTCCTGTCTCCTCCCTCCTTGGAAGCCCATGTGTTCACTGCATTAACAAAGCACATTAGGACAATGGCAGCAAAACTAGTAAGGACTGAATGGGCAAGCTGAGAACTCCACGGTTCTCCCCATGGCTTTCACCTCAGACTTTATAGGCCAAAGTTACCAGGGACAGAACTGCTTGTTTTGTTTTCTTGGGCTTTTTTGAGACGGGTCCTGTTGCCCAGACTGGAGTGCAGTGGCGTGATCATAGCTCACTGCAGCCTTGACCTCCCAGACTCAAGCGATCCTCCAGCTTTAGCCTCTTGAATAGCTGGGACTACAGACATGTACCACTGCTCCTAGCTATTTTTTTCTTATTTTTGTAGAGACACGGTCTCTCTCTCTCTCTCTCCTTTTTTGAGATGGGGTCTTGCTCTGTCACTCAGGCTGGAGTGCAGTGGTGTGACCTCGGCTCACTGCAACCTCCGCCTCCCAGGTTTAAGCGATTCTCCTACCTCGGCCTCCCAAGTAGCTGGGATTACAGGCGTGTGCCACCATGCCTGGCTGATATTTGAATTTTTAGTAGAGACGGTGCCTTACCATGTTGGCTAGGCTGGTCTCGAACTCTTGACCTCAAGTGATCTGCCCACCTCGGCCTCCCCAAGTGCTGGGATTACAGGTGTGAGCTACTGTGCCCAGCCGAGACAGGGTCTCTCTATGTTGCCCAGACTGGTCTTGAACTCCTGGGCTCAAATGATCTTCCTTCTTCGGCCTTCCAAAGTGCTAAGATTACAGGTGTGAGCCACTGCGCCTGGCTATGAGCTTGCTTCGCGTCTGACTAGCAGCCCCGGTTTGGACACTGTGCACTGCTAATGCCTCTGAAGCCACTGCTGCTCTAGCCTCTGTTTTCCAAAATCCTCTTTACTTATTTATTTAAAAAAATGTTTGAGACAAGGTCTTGCTCTGTTGCCCACGTTGGAGGACACTGGTAATCACGGCTCACTGCAGCCTTGAACTCCCGGGCTCAAGCAATGCTCTCGCCTCAGCCTCCCACTTAAATAGCTGGGACTATAGGTGTGTGCCACCAGGCCCAGCTCACCAAAGTCTCCTTTAAAACCACTGTGACCGCTTTAGCACAGAAAACAATCTTGATGAAAATCTGTGCTAGGACCAGAAATCCAACCACTGAATGATCACACAGATCTGCATGGCATGTTTCCTATGTCTTCCAATACCAAGACCACCGCAGTAACACCGAGTAAACGTCCTACACTTGTAAGTTGACTGTAACTCTACAAGGACTTTCTTGCCTTCTCTCTCAGTTGCTAGTCAGCAGTCAACAGGTTTCATCTATCAAAGATGTTTGCTAAAAAATATGACCAAAAGACTTATTAAATAAAGCTTTAAAAGCTTTTAATTACCATGTTGACATTCAAGCATGTATGTCTTCTTAATAATACCATGTTGATATTCAAGCGTGTATGTTTGGGGACCTTTTTCAGCATCTGTTTTGGGTCTACAGTGTGTGTCTGGGCCTAGCTTAGGCACTGGGGACTCTAGCAACCTCTGCCTCCTGGGATCAAGTGATTCTCATGCCTCAGCCTCCTGAGTAGCTGGTACCATCAGCACATGACACCAGACCCGGCTAATTTTTGTATTTTTAGTAGAGTTGGGGTTTCACCTGTTGGCTAGGCTGGTCTTGAACTCCTGGCCTCAAGTGATCCACCCACCTTGGCCTTCCAAAGTACTGGGATTACAGGTGTGAGCCGCCGCACCCAGCCCACAAGAACAAACTTTAACAAACAAGCAAAATAACAGCAGTAAAAATGTCAGGTCCTGGGAAAGCATTAAAATACTGTAGTTTCCTGACAAAGAGCGCCTGGACAGTCACCTCAGACAGTGAGGGCAGAGCTTTTTGAAGAGGTGAGAATTCACTGAGATCTGAATCACAGAATGAGACAGTCAGGGGGAACTCAGGTCATCCCTAAGGAAGAAGCACACTAGCTGTGTGAGCACCACAGATGAGAGGCTGCCAAGCTCAGAGGCTCCTGTGGAGTTTTGTGAGGCAGGTTAGGGTTTGAATGTACTTGATGGGAAGGTGTGCATTAGAGGAGGGAGAGCTGATTTCTGTGTCTTAAAGATCGCTCCAGCTGTTGTGGAGAGGAGAGTCGAGGCCTGGGCTGTTGTGGTGGAGGTGGGAATGGAGACATGTGCAGATGGGGACATATTCTGGAACAGTCAATGGCACTTGCCGACAGTTCTCTTGAGGAAAAAGGATGGCTCATGGTGCCCCTTCCAGATATGGGGAGGCCAGTGGTAGAGGAGATTTTGGGGAAAAATTCAGATTCCACCTCACACACTAAATTTTAGGGGCTTATGAGATTATTTGTGAGTTAAGGGTCAACAAAACCGTATCCTTGTCTACCTCAGAACTGCCTTTGGTTAAGCTGTTTTAAAGTCAGTTCTTCTGAAAACGTGACAAAGAATGTCGGCAACATCACAAGGCGCTGCTTATGATACTAGTGACCCCTCCCAGGCAAGCTGTGTCTAAATGGGGAGGACTGTGAAGAACATTCTTGGTGGGAAGCCACAGCTTTGAGGCTTCTGGAGCATGGTGATGCCTGTAACTGGGCATGCCTCTTGCTGAAATCCCTGGAAGTCATGCCTGTGGAGTGTTCACAAGATATATCAGCTTGGATTAGGACATGGGGCTGTTCAGTAACTGGCTGCAGGAGCCCTGCCGTGGGACACTTCTCCTTCACATTGGAGTTGACACTTGGGTAGGTAGGTGGGGTCAGTAGGTAGGGTCAGGGAATAGCCCCTGAACTTCTATGGGGATGACTGTGAGGACCCCTGTTGAAGAAACATTCGTGATGTTGCCTGCAGTATGCCTACTTCCTGTCCTATATCTTGCTAAGTAAAGCTAAGAAGGTCACGTGTGACCTGTTTTGGTCTTGTGAATTTGACTGACTCATTGAACTTAAGATCACCCAAACGCTGCAATGCAATCTCAAGCGGAGATGGTCTATCTCAAGAGGTCTTGCCGTCTAGATAGATAAACATATCTGAAGTTCCAGTGAGTGATGAGAGCTGGTGATACACTCAACTTGGTTCAAAATTGTCAACATCACGAGAAATTGTGATGGCTAATGGATGAACAGCATGAAAAATAGTTTCTGGAAATTTTTATTAGAGAACTCCATTTATTATTATATTTTCCTCTGAATTATTGCAAGAAATTTTAAGATGGAAAGGAATAATTCTCAGGGGAATTGGTAATGGTGACTATGAGGGAGCTTTGCCAGATCTTTATGTTTCAGCCCACTGAGGGCAGGCACATGCCTCGAACACCTTCTCTTCTCTTCTGGAAGCCTGCATAGTGCTAGGCACATAGAAAGCACTCAAGCAATACCTGATCAGCTTCACAGGGAAAGGAGCTTACACTGTATCTGGACATCTTCTTACCTTTTCTTGACTTGCTTTACTCTCTGTAACTTACACCACGACGCTCTTCCAATCTGTGGAATGTGATGGCTATTCATCCATTAGCCATCACAAATTCTCACAATGTTGACAATTTTGAACCAAGTTGAGTGTATCTCCAGTTCTCATCTCTCACTGGAACTCCAGATACGCTTATCTGTCTAGATGGCAAGACCTCTTGCTGTCTCCGTTTAAGACTGCATTGCAGCGTTTGGGTGGTCTTAAGTTCAATGAGTCAGTCAATCTCTAGCTACCCAGTAGTCCCTCCAAATCACAGCAGCGTGCATGTTGCATAAGCCAGATGATTCTAGATCCCCCAACTTTTT